TTGCTTTAGCTATAGGTATATAGTAATAGTAATACTATTATATATTTCTTTAGTAGGCATAAGGATATTAGTAAGTAATAAGGCTATTATACTATTATTATTATTCTTTTTATTACCTTACCTACCTACCTTAAAGAGTAGCTATTATTACTTATTATAGGTATTTTTAAGGTATAGTTTAATAATAGTTAAATAAAAAGTTTATAGGCCTTAAGGGAGGTTAATAGTATAAGTAGTCTTATTACTAGTAATAAGGCAAAAGGGGCCTTACTAGCTCTTTTTTTTATACTAGATATAAACTATAGATTAAAGTAGAAAGGCTATTATTATAGTAGTATCTAGGCTGTTATATATAGTTACTACCTTATTAACTTACTTTTTTATATAAATCTAGTAAATAGCCTTTATTACTTTTCTTACTACTTTAGCCTTTTTAAGTAGGGTTAGTAAAAGTAGTAATAAGTTAGAGATTTATAAGTAAGCACTAAAGACTAGTAGTATAAGTACTAAGCTATTTAGGCTAGCTATATTATTAATTACTTTAATAGCTAGCTAAAAGGTAACCTTAGGTGTGTAGCCCTTACTATAGAGGATATTATATATACGTTAGAGGGGCATATAGTATTTTTTAACCTTACTAATACTATTATAGGCTTTAATTAGTATTTCTTTAATATTAATATAAAGTAACCTTACTAACTACTTAAATTTACTAGTATAAAAGTTTAGGCTAGTATTAGTAATAATCTAGTTAGGTAGGCTAAGGTAAACGTTAATCTAGTATATCTAAAGTGCCTCCTATATATACTCTATAGTAATATTTTTAAGTAAACAGGCTGCTTAAAAGGATATTATAGTATTAACTATATATAAGGCTAGGTAGTTACTATTAAGGTAGATAATATTAATAATAATCTTATAGTTAAAGTTATATTTATTATTATATAAAGTAAATTTAAAGTAACTAGGTGCCTTTATATTTATTTAGTAGTAGTAGTAGACCTTAGTTAATTTCTTTAAGGCTGTAATCTTAACTTTATTACTAGATTATTAGAGGACATAATAAAGCCTTTTAACTAATAAGTAGCTAAAGTAATAATAAATTTACTATAACTTAATATCTATAAGATAGTAGTAAGTAATACTTTACTTATATTAATTAAGTAGTATCTATATATAGCCCTATTTATAGATAGTAGGTATAATAGTGTTACCTTAGATTAGCTTATTAGTAAGGTTATTAAATTTAATACTATACTAATCTATATCTATAAGGTAAAGTAGAAATAAGGTGTTTAATAGTATTATATAGAAGGTTAGCGTACTAAAGGGGGTTAGTATATTAATTACCCCTTATAATTTAAAGTAGTTACTACTACTAAAGTAGATTTTTACTTTACCTGCTTGTAACTTATCTATAGCTAGATTTCTTTTTATTTAGTAGTAAAAAGTAAAATACTACTTATATCTAGCTATTAAATATTTAGCTACACTAGAGTTAGGCATAATACTATAGAATAAGATAAATAAATATTACTTATTAAAGGTAAAGACGTCTATATTAAGTAGCTTATTATTATATAAATTCTTATATAGGGAGTTATCCTTTATAAGAAAATAGGTTATAAATTAGTTATATAGTAATAAAAAAAGAGTAGGCCTATTAACAGTAGATAAGTTAAAGAACGTTATTAACGTATAAAACGTAATACCTAATTTTTTATCTTTATTACTTTTTATATAGTTACCTTCCTTATTTAAAGTAAATAGCTTATATCCCTTAAAGTTAGTTATAAAGTAGTTAAAGGCTTTAGGTAAAAAGTCTATTAGATACTAATCTTTATACTTATAGTAGGCTTATTACTTTTTGTCTTTTAAGTACTTTATTAACTAATAGTTAGGCTTACTATATATATAGTACTTCTTTATAAATAATAATAAGGGTAAAAGAGGTGCTTATTACTATAGATTACTATTAAAAGGGCGCTATAGTATAAAGTTACTATAGCTATAGTTATATTAGCTAAATTACTAGTAACTTTACTAGCTATTATAAGTATAGTTAGTCTAGTATTAATTATTTACTTCTTTAGTTAGGTATTAATATATAGGTTATTTAAATTATATTATATTACTAATTACTAATTAAAGCTAGCTATATATACTAGTAAACGTTAAAAATAGATTAAAAAAGGTAAGGGAGTATTCTTTTATCTTATAGTAGAAGTTAAGTAATTAGTTATAGAGGGCTACGTTAGATAAGGTACTAATCCTTATAACTATTCTTATAAAAGTAGTTACTCTCTTAATAAGTAACTCTAGGTATTTAGGCTTACTTTTGTCTAGATTATCTAAAATAGTCCTTATTAAATTAGTTCTTTATAGCTTAGTAAGGTAGGCCTAAAAGGTCTCTTTATTCTTAAAATTACCTTTTATCTATATAACTATAGTAATAAAGTTAGTTTAGTTATAGAGATAGTTAGTATAGTACTTTACAGCCTTACCTTTAAGTATAATAAAGAAGGCGCTTATAAAGTGCTTTTACTAGATCCTAGCCTTTATATAGTAGTTATAAAAGATTATAAGCTTTAATTTAAGTAACTTATATACTTTTTTACTATACTTTATTTTATTAGGGTATAATTTAATAAGGTTAGTAAGCTAGTAAGTTATAAGTAAGGTAGTAGTAACTAGTGTAACTAATAGGTAAAGGTAAGTATTACTTACCTACTTAAATAGTAAAGAAATAAAATTTAGGTTATTATATAATAAGGCTAGATTAATAGGCCTTTATTAACCTTTCTAGACTTAAGTAACTTATACTAAGAGGGTAATAATATAAGAGGGGCTTAGTTAATCTTATATTAATATTATTTCTAGTAGTAGGTCTATAATATTTTATATAAAGTTAGGTTTATTAATCTTTAAGTAAAAATCCTTACTTTTTTTCTTTTTTTCTTTAATATCCTTAAGCGTCTATACCTTTAGATTATTAGCCTTAAGGGTATAGTAGATTTATTTAGTAATAGTTAGTAACTTTACTATTAATACTTATATACCTTTATATATTAAGTAGTCTTTAAATTTAATAATAGTTTTATAGGTAGTACCTTTAAAGGTATTAAGTAACTATTCTTTAAAGTCTTTAGTAGTATATCTTTATAGCTATTAACTATATAGCTATATAAAGCTATATTATATTATTTAAAGTATAATAATAGTGCTTAAGGCGTTATATTACTTAACTTAAGTAAGGCTATTAGGAATATTAGCTAAATTAGTTATACTTTATAGTTATATAATAATAAAGGGCTAGCTACGCTTTAAGATAAAATATAGATCTTTAATATCCTATAAATAGATATACTTTTTTACCTTAGCTAGCACCTATAGTTTACTTTACTTTTTACTTAGTCCTTCCTTTACTATTATTACCCTCTATTAGTCTTACTAACCTCTTAATTATAGGTACTTACTCCTTACTTATAAGGTTAGAGGTAAATCTATATATTAGAGGAATTACTACTATTAGTATAAATAATAATAAGATAAGTAAATAAATAATATAATATAAGGAGGTATAAGTAAGAGATAAGGTAAATAAAGGGATAAAATAATAAATAAATAAATAGTAGTAAATAGCTTTAGGGAGGCCTTACGCTTTAGTAATATAAAGAGATAGCTCTAGGGAGGCCTTATAGTAGGTCTTACTTAAAAAACAAAAAGAGATATACGCTACCTCTAAAAGGAGATATATATAGACCTTACCTTTTAGTAAGTAGGATACTATAGTTAAAGATTTTTAAAGGAAAAAAAGTAAGGAGTTAAGGTTATATACCTTACTTAAAGGTAAATAATAAGTAGTTTTTCTAGATTAATTAGGATAATAAAGTTAAGTAAAAGTTATATTAGTTACTAATAACTATACCTTACTTAAAGAAGAAGAAAAAATAAGGAGGATAGTATAGTTATTAATAGGTATTTAAAGAATAAGAAAAAGTAAGTAAATTAAGGTAATATAAGTAACCTCTACCTTTTTTACCTTACTTTAAGAATAAAAGGAGGTATACTTACTAATTACTAAAGGTAATAATTAGCTACTAACTGTCTAGTTAAAGAAAAAAGTTATAATTACTATAAGCTATACTTAGCTAATAACGTAATATTAGAAGTGTATAAAGGTAAGGTTAGTAGAAGCTATTTATTTATAAATACTATATTAAAAGTAGATTACTTAAGTAGTTCTTACTTAACTACTTTATAGCTAGTCCTACTAGTAAGATCTTATTTAGATAAGAACTTATAGGAGTCTATTTACTTATAATCTTATATAGGCTATTACTACTATAGTAAAATAAAAACTTAGTAAGATAAAAATCTTAATAATTAGAAAAAAAAAAAGGTTAAAAGATAAAAAAAAAAAAAACTTAAAGAAACTTAAGTATAAAAAAAAGATAATTATACTAAATACTATAAAGGTTATTAGTAAGTAAGTAGTATATAAAAGAAGGGACTTCTTTAAAAGTAATAAAGTTAATAGTAGTAATAGTAGTTATTATATAGTAAACATAAGGCTTAAAAGGTTATTTACTAGGTATTATAAGATCCTAAGTACTAATAGTCTTTAGGCTAAGTAGCACTTTAATACTTTAATCTAAGCTACTATAGTAAGTAAAGTATTATAGCCTCTTCTAATAATCCTTACTAATCTATAGTAGTAGTAACTATAAAGTTAACTACTAATTAGTGTTAGTATTATAGGGATTATAATTAAGGTAGCTATAATAGTATTAATTAACTATTAGTAGCTAGGGTAAAGATAATAATTAAGGAAAAGAGAAGAGGTTGCTGCTGTAGGTATTTGTGGTGGTGTAAGTAAGCCGCCAGGGTGAGTCACGTGATAGTAAATCACGTGACCATGGATCGGCTCCACCATTGAACAGTTGAATATCCCGACACTTTTGGTTCGCACCTCCGGGAGAAATGGATCTTTCACTGACATGCTGTGGCCCTGTATCCAGTCTGTGCCACAGCCCAACCTGAACGGAAGGATCGGCAACGTCTGGGTTTCTAACCAAGTTGGAGGCGGCTCGTCCGTGAACGCCATGGTGAACATGCGAGGCTCTGCAGAGGACTACGATCGCTGGGCTGCCCTGTTCGGAGACGAAAGCTCAGCAGGGTACCGCTGACTGGAGCTGGGACGGCATCTTGCCGTTCTTCAAGAAGGTGACAAAAATGCCCTGGACTGGTTGCTAAGATAACGAGCTAACTATCACATGAAAGGGCCTCCACTTTACTGAGCCGCCTCCTGAGCTGACCGACAACTTCGATGGCGTCAAGTATGATGCCTCCTACTGGGGAGACTCTTCTGAGATCTATGCCGGTTGGCCTCGGTTCTATTACCCAGGTGTGACTCCACTCTTTGAGGCGTTCAAGGAGATTGACGGCGTTGAGTTCCCGTCCGACAGTGGTGCTGGGAAGGCAGGTGTTTTCTGGTTCCCCACGCTCATGGATCCCCAGACTGTCACGCGCTTGGCCACTATCTCAACGTCAACGCTAGCCGCCCTAACTACCACCTTTTGATCAACACCCAGGTCCGCAGGCTTCTAGTGGATGATGAGCTCTCTGCCACAGGAGTTGAGTTTCCGTTGGAAGACAACACCCTGTTCACCGTCAACGCAGAGAAGGAGGTCATTCTTTCTGCCGGCACTGTCCACACTCCTCACCTCTTGCAGCTGAGCGGCATCGGCCCCAAGAAGATTCTTGAGGCTGGAGGTATTGACGTGCGCGTTTCACTATGTGTGTTCGACTGAGGTTGACATTGGACAACTCGCACCACATAGGCCCATACTCCATCGCACTCACCAACCTGGCTGGCTGGCTCCCCTTCACCGTCGTGTCGGACAAGGCCGACGAGCTTGCCACGAAGCTGGAGCAACAAGACTTTGCCAGCCTGTTGCCAGCCGACGCCGCCGCCACTGTGGTCGCCGGCTTCGAGGCGCAGATGAAGATGCTAGCTGCCCAGATGCGCTCCAAGGACACGGCCTTCACCCGTTTCCAGCTCATCGCCGACCATGGCGCGCAGGGTTCTGTGGCGATGCAATCCTTCAGCCGCGGCACCATCAACATCAACACGACCGACCCGCTGAACACGGAGCCCGTGATCGACTACCGCTCCCTGACCAACCCCCTGGAGGCCGACTTCTTCGTCGAGTCGATCAGGTTCCTCCGGCGCTACAACTTTGAGACCTCCCTTGCCTCCGAGTTTGCTCCGGTCGAGTACGTCCCTGGCCCTGACGTCGTCTCGGACGAGGACCTCAAGGCCTACATCGCCAGAGCTATGTCGCCGACCGACTACCACCCTGTCGGCACAGCATCTATGCTGCCGCTGAAGTTGGGAGGCATCGTCGACCAAACCTTGCGTGTGTACGGAGTCAAGAACCTGAGGGTAGTCGACGCCAGTGTCATGCCCATGGTTCCCTCTGCCAACACGTGCCAGCCTACCTACGCCCTGGCCGAGAAGGTGAGTCGGTGCCCGGATATTTCATACACCCATACGTCTTTCCCTGGGCTCTTTGTTATCCCCCTGCCACGTAAGCCCTACTACGGCTTTGTGCTAACAACATGTTGCGAATTACAGGCAGCGGAAATTATCAAGCAAGGCATCTAAGCCCATCAAACCATAAGTCTTGGCCAAAACCACTAATGCTTGTTGCTACTCGTAACTTTTCATACGGATATAAGTACAACACGGCTGGTGCGGATAGATGTATCTTTGGAACATCTAGAGGTAATCTAGATGCTACAAGTATCTACGGTTGTAGTGTTCGCCCACGGAAAGGGGTTTCTTTTCTCCTTTAACACATCCCTACAATCATAGTAATATACAGACTTGTCCGAAACGTATTACGAATCTCATTTGAATGCCTGGTACATATTGACCTAAGCCAGCCCTCGCTATGTTAATACAAGCAAATGCTTTTTCAAAAGGTTCACTGCAGCGACTCTTAAAGGTCTCTAGTCCTCCATTCAATCCTCGTCAATAGCGTATATCCAAAGTAATGGAAACCAGGGTGAAGGAATGCATGGCAATCTTTAGAAATACGAATGCCGTATCCCATAATCTGAACTGCAAGTAATACGGGATTCCATCCAAACGGACACGGAAGAATCCCCTCATCGGTGTGGTCGTATCTGGCAGTTCCCATAGGATATACCAGCTATATCTATCAACATGCTGAACTGGAGTGTGGGGCGTTGGGATAAGAAAGATAAACACAGTTATGCAACCATGGTTGCACATTCACAATAGAGGCAGGGAAAACTCGATGTTTCGACTCTGTTCCCTTTTCTTGGACTAATATGATGCTGGCGTTCCCGAAACCCGAGACTTAAACCAGGTGCTTTGTACAACACTGACCGGTTGTCTAGTTCCTTAGCTGCTGCATACATCAGCTCTTTGCAGTCTAAAGTACGATGCTCGTCTCGGCCGATGAGTAAAGCCGACTCTCGGCCGATGTGGAAAAAGAAAAGATAAATACAAATGCCCATCTCAATAATTGGGAAGGCTCCGCAACAAACAAGTGCGAGAGTTGCTCTAACCCGAGTACGCAGCTCATCTCGCTTGTTACGTAACACTCCGTTCCTGCGCAACAGTGCGCCTCTCCATCTGAGCTTCATTGGCCGCCGGGAGCATTCTTCACCCTTGGGAAGCCCCTTGAGTCATGTGAGCAAAGAGTTCTGCCTGAAAATTTGGGCCGGCAAGAACGCCCCCCCCATAGGTCTCCTCCAGTATCTATATAAACCTCGTCTCGCTCCCTCCCCCTTCATCTGATTCTTTTTCTTCTTCATACTTACCTTGTCGCGTCTTCCCGAGCTCAAGATTTCGGGAATGCAAGGAGGGAGGCCTGCATTGCACATCGCGGTGTCGACCTCCTTCGATTGTCCTTCGGGGCCATCGGCGGCGGAATTTTTGATTTTTACCACCTATGGTGCACTTGTTTTCATTATGCTGATCGCTTTATGCGATGGTATGGAGAAGATATACGAACGGGTGACAGATCGTTGGCGTGCTGCTGCTCTGATCGCTTGACGCGATACGGCGAAAAGCTGACGGCCGGTGATAAAGCTTAGCTAAGCTGATGCGGGTTATACCACCCCCTTCCCCCAAGAAGTAGACAGGTGAAATGGGCCAGCTGCCACACGCGCTTAGGCTTTTCGAACATGGACGGGGATATTGGCTCCCATGTGGCAACAGGCCGCGGCCCAGTATGTAGATGTGACAGGCCTCTGCGGCTCTCAGCCGTTTTTTCATTCGGCTAAGCATGACAATTAGAAAGGAGGACGCTTTGTACATGTTGAGGGCCTTTCATAGCAGTTTACCCGAGCCGTGCACAGGTCTGAGAAATAATCCATACTCGGTCTTCAAACACCTTGTTCTGATGATAGGATCATATGAAAGCGGAATGCATAAGTCATTGGTTTACTCAATGGGGGGGAAAACACGAGTCTACCTAATTTTTGATTTGTTTTTCAAAAAAGAAAAGAAAAGAAACAGTCAGTTTCAACAGCATACTGAAGACGAGTGGCTTTATTCAGCCTTTCAAAGGCTTTCTCGTCCCTGGATGGACCCAGCCATACGAGGTTGGTCAGTGACGGCGTCTTTCTTCCTTAGGTTCTTCTATCACTCCTTCAAGCAAAGAGTACAAGTTGAAGTAAGCATGTTCTCTTATTCACGAGGCCTTTGCGAGCTTCCACTGCAAGCAAGGCAACCTCTCTAGGTCCAGCCCAGGGCCCGTGTCAAAGGAGCCATGAGAAGCCCGTCCAACTTGGGCGCCAGATTCTCGTGGTTCCAAACACCGGGCTCCTTGTGTCTCTAGCCTTTTGGCCAGCCGTTCGTCGGCCGCTTGAACCGTTGAACCTGGACGTCTTCGCATCCGGCCTCGGTCATGGTACCCTCGAGCCGGCCGACATCCTCAAAGGGAGTACCAAGAACTGCTGGCACCTCGAAGCACAGACGAAAAAAGCAAGAAAAAAAGCCTTCATGAGGTCGCAGTCCTCCGCGAGAGTGCCACTGTCTGATGCATGGAAGCCATCGGCATCGGTGAGCTCAATATAGCCGCCAGGGCTGGGGTTACTATGGAGACGTGGCGGGTTGCAGTACTGAATGTTCCAAGGGAACCAACTCGACGCATCGCTCGCGATGTTCCTGCCAGTCGAGGAAGCGAGGCCTGCCTGCAAACCGGCTGATGAGTTTCCGGACTCCAAGATCGAGGCCAAGAGGTTTTGGTGCCAACGAGTGAATACTGCTCACGTTGCTCTCTGACAAGCCGTCATCCGTAATCCAAAATCGTGTCAGTATAGTGTACATGATCCGGGACAGGTTAAACGCCATCTTGCCACGTCGGCCTCAAGGATATCTTCGGTCTCATTCGCAGTAGTTTGAGGGGACCTCTGTAATAGGTCCGGGTGGATTAGCTCCGGTCATCTTGGCGATCGTTGCATTGTTGTTGTTGTTGTCGGACATTTCTCTTCCCCCAGAACGAGGGCACTACCTCCATCCGTGAGCCCCGGCCCCCGGACCCCGTAACGTTATGTGCCCCTGGAATCGGGGGCTAGACCGGACTCGTCACGCGGCGATTTGCCCACTTTGGGAGTCATGGGCTGTTGGTTCGTCTTGTGGTACCACATCAGGCATGGAGGGGTTTCCAGAAACAGCAGCTGGCGGAAGCGGATGCGCGACCCTGCTTTCGATGGTGTTCTCCCCCGTTACTTCACGGCCGGGGGTGTTGTACCTATGCCCATCCTCCACATGCAAGGATTCTTGGCCAGTCGGAGGGGTCCCGTACCCGAGCAGCGGCAAAGAAGCCCGTTGAGTCTACTGGACATAACAGGCCAATTGGCCGGGCTGGTCCTAGCCGTGGCCTCCTACAGAATGAGACGATCTCAATCGTATGGTAGCCTCAGGGCGAGTACGTCTGATCCCGAAACAAGGCCCTCTTGTCCTCATCATGGCGACGAGTTGCATTGAGCTGGAGGGATGAAGCAAAGGACCAGCTTCCAGCAGGCTTTTGCACACACCTGGCCATGTCCAGCAAGAATCCCTGAGAGCCGGGAGCAAAGTTGTCTCCATCTAGCACCGTTCGAGGTACGGTCTTTTCTCCGACCTTGAGTGGCATATTCAATGAGGTTATTGTAGCTGGGACTTCAGTCACGCTGTCGGTTACGTTCAACACGCCATGGTCTTCATGTAAGGGTGAACTTGGCTCAAACGCTTATAGAGGACCAGAACAATAACTTACTTCCAAATTGATAGAACATTCGATACCACAGCACAGCAAAACGCTTCTGATTGAGAATAAGGAATCCCAGATCCAACAGTCCTCTCGCCGGACGGAGCGGGTGTGATCTGGGAAGCAGTAGTTTAGGCGGGAGGGCACATGGACTCATTTCCAAGGTACAAGCAGACAATACTAGCTCGGTTCGAGGTGCAATCAGATTGACCTAAGTTGCGGGAATAGCAGAGATGTAACAAGTATACTGCGCTTGCCTCTAAACCATGCCAAGAAAGACACAGGAAACCTCTTTTACTAGGTAGTTATCGTTACCTCCCGCCACAAATGCTACCTAGAGCCAGACGCCTTGGGACCCTCACACCACCTTCTCCTAGTGCCTCTCCCTTTGCCCTTCGCGGACAAGGAGGATTGGTCAGAGACTGGGGAGGGAAAAAGCTACGCGAAAAGAGAACTCGACGAGGGCGCCGCATGCGACGCTGCGCCGAGCTGTGCTTCGCTTCGATTCTGAGCAGAAACATGGTATCCCTGAAAGAAAGAAGGAAAAAAAAGACAAAATGTTGTCCCAAAACCCTCCCCAACGCCATCACCGCCCTTTTTTTCTATTTCACTCTGCTGAAAACTGATTAGCATGTATGCGTGCTGTATAATGGCCACATAGACCCGCCATCCGCCAGACGCTCATTATGTGCCGGTAATACATGTGTTGTTTGGGTATGCTGCAGCCTCTTTCTTCCATGTACAGACCCGTTAACTCTGAATAAAACAGGGAAATGGGAGGTTTGCTCATGCCGCTACGCTTGTGAAGAAACAATGACGCTAATGCGAGTGCAAGCAATGTCCATAAGATGGCCGACTACTCATCATCAAAGATCTCGTAGGTGTTCTGCAGGATCGTGTCGACGACCTTGATCTGCCAACCGGCATCGGCGATGCTGGTGGACGGGTCGGTGCCCATGACTGTGGGGCCGAAGATAACCGACAGGTTGTGCGAGTTCATGCGGTTGATATGGGAGTTCTCCATGATGCGGTGGAGATGCAGCGTCAGCGAGCGTAGGGTGGCGTAGTTGGGATCGGGCAGGCTGTTGATAATGGCGTGGAGGGAGTCTCGGCGAACGATATCGTCCTCGAGTTCTGGCAATGATTAGTAAAGCTCATATGCAAATACTTATAAAAAAATAAAACTCACTAGCTGCCTCGATCAGTTCGCTGTGGTGCTCCGTGGTGAGCAAGGGATTAGGGAGATCGCGCAAGAATTGCTTCAACAGGCCGGTGACACTATTGACATCGTGGTAGAAGTTTTCGGGATTCCTAAAGTCCAGGAGGGGGTTGCTCGAGTCCGTGTCGAACATGGTCTTGAGCTTGTTGATATGCGTCAACGAGCCAGACTGTCGGTAGATACCCTCAACGCCGAGTCCATAGAGGTCCACTGCTTGGATACACTGATAAACGACCATCGGCACAGGCAAGCCGTCTCGCTCATACAAGCGAGTGAGGCTTAGCCCGAAGACGGGACTCGCGGCACTCGGGGCTGGCCCGGGAGGACCGGAAGGCGCTTTGTTGTGCGGGGGGTATCCTCCAGCTCCGGGAGGGGGCCCCTGTGGAGGATACTGCTGCATTGGGTTACTCTGTCGCTGCTGCTGAGGCGGCGGCTGGTATTGGCTCTGCTGCGGCGGCGACGCTGGTTGCTGCTGCTGTTGTGGTGGAGGCGACTGCGAAGTCTGGAATGGCAGAGCTCCGAGCTGCGGTGGTCCTTGCGATGCCATAGCGCCTCCATTGTATCTCGACGTCACCACGCCCGAGTTGCGGTTTGCTTGGAACTGCTGTTGCTGGCTAGGTTGGTTGAGCATATTATTGGCGCTGAAGCTGCGGCCGTGTTGCGACTGAGGGGGCTGCTGTTGATGTTGAGACGACGGTCGTTGTAGTTGCGATACAGGCATGTTCGGCGGCGCAAAATCTCGAAGAGGCTCGACGGGCTGTTGAGGACCCCCTGGTCTAGCAGGAGGCGGCATCTCTCGTTGTTGTTGCTGTTGATGTTGACCCTGACCAGGCGGCGGCCCTGAATTCTGCAGCACGTTCGAGACTGACGCATTGGACTGATGGCCCATTGCCGGGTGGCGGGCGTTTGCCAGGATCGGGTTCTTTTCGTACTTTACTTCGCCATTGTTGTTTGCCACCCTCGAGTAGTGAGAGATGAGGTAATCGTGGAGGTCCTTTTCGTTATTGATGGCCATGACAGCCTCGCGAAGACTGCGCGACCCCCCCGAACCGTGCCCCTTGATTGGGCTAATGCTAAGACCGTTGCTCAGGAGCAGCTTCTCATTGAAGGACGCTGCGGTTGCGTTAGCTCTGTCAGGCCCGTAAGACAACGGCACTTGACCTACCAAACTTCTGCATCTGAAGCGCCAGGCCCGAATCCGTCTCCTTGACCAAATCCTGGAGAGCGGAAATGGCCTCGGGTCTTGTCCTCGCAATCAGCTCCGCCTTCTCGCTCTGTAGCGTCTGCACCTTGGATTGGTAGTCTTGGTCGGCGGCCTGGGCCTTGCGCAAAAGATCCTCCTCGTGTTGGGGTCCCGACTTGGACTTGAGACTGAACATCTTGCCGCTGTTCCTGCTGGTGTCGCCGGTGCGCGCGCGGTCGTATTCCTCTGCCAGACTGTCATACTTGGCCTTGGATTTGCGCATCGCGGCTTCTAGGTCGGCCACTCTCTGCTCCGCCGCCAGGCCATTCGCCTTCCACCCTTTTCTACTGCGCTCCGCGACGGCGGCGAGCTCGAGGAGGTCGTCGTGCATCGTCTGTAGTGATTGGGCGAACTGGGAGCCGTTCTCGGCCATGCGCTCGTGGATATACATCATTTCGCTGTAGGCCTGGGCAAAAGTGCCTTGTCGGTGATCGGGCTGGTGCATCGTCTCCTGGCTGATGCGGGACAGCTTCTTGAGGGAGGAGGCATGGCTCTCTTCGATGTGCGATCGCTTCTTGAGAAAGAGGGCGAACTCCTATAATCCCGTCAGCAGCTGTGGACGCGGGGCCGTGGGGCAATGGTCACTCACCTTGGCAGAGGCGATGCTCGCCTTGAGCTGGTTCAGCATGGTTGCGACTCCGATCTAGGCCATTGTCAGCGCATTCGGAAGAGTTTAGGGGGCAAGCAGGCGACGGCCTTACGTCTGACGACAGCACATCTTGGACCTGGCGCGAGACCTCAGAAGTAGGCGCCGAAGCTGTCTCGACAGCGGCGGGCGCGTCGCCGTTGGACGTAGTGACCCCCCCATTCTGGGAGGGAGGTGTTGTTGTTAGTTCCGTGGTTCCTAGTGACATGCTGCTCGTCCTGTCGCGCTGTTCGTTGTGGGAGGGCAAGTTGTCGTCCTCCGAGGGGGAGGAGCGGAGGTCGGCCATTTTGAGAGGTCAAGGAGAGTCAGGCGACCCGGCGCAAAAGGGCTCGAGTAGGCAACACGAGGATGGGAGGCTCCAGCTCAGACGGCGGCAGCCAACTTTCGGGGATGGGATGGACCAAGGAAGTGAGTGGCCAGGGCAGGCGTCGTTTGGAGCTGAGGGCGTGAACTTTGTTTGGGTGCAAGACGGGTGAACGGATTCGAGTTACCAGCTTGGAGGGGGCGTGGTTAGGTGGAGAGACAAGGGGTGAAACGGAGGAGATTCATGCGAGAGAGATGCCCGAGGATGGCTTGAATGAGTTGGTGAAAGAACTGGTCGTCCAGTATGACGGGTTGATCGGGGAGGTAAGCGATTGGATGTTGCGCGGGTGGGAAATGTGGCCTTGGATACACGGGCAGACGCGGGATGGTGGTGCGCTGTGCGAACACACTGCAGAGTTCAGGTCTGGTGACCGGCCGGGGGAGCACACGGAGGACGGAATAACGTGGGACAATCGACACCCAAGAGGGGGGTAGCCCGGGGGGGGGGGGGGGGGGAAGCGACGACGGCGGACCGGGGTTGATGTACTGTACGGATACTATGTACTACCATATATAGGTACTTCAGGGTCGTGGACCGTTGATGGCGGCGAGGTTGGACTGTGATGGTCGGTCAACTCGGCAGGGCAGGACGTGAAGGCGCAGAAGAAGGAAGCTATACACGAAAAAAGAAAGAAAGTAAAAAAGAAAAAAGAGAGTTGATCTGGAAAACGACAAGAACAGGCTATGGAATGTCTTGGCTGGGATGTTGGGACGAGACTACCTAATGGCAGTGCGCATTAGCGTACAGACAGAGAGACACGTCAGGCAAGGCGAGGCAAAGAATGCGGGCCGGCCGCGTAGTCTTGGTCGGGCGCAGTTGAACATCCTAGACGAGGGGGAGAGACGAGCGAGCACGGCCAATGACTACAAAGTGAGGGCAATACGATATTAAAGCAAGAGGTGACAACTGCTGCTATGCGCCTCAGTTCCACAGTCACGACGCGTAATCGTGGGCGATAGTAACATGTCAATCGTGATCGTCCCGGGTTACCTTTGTTTTTATAATTTTTTTTTTTCTATTTTCTTTTTTTTGCATTACTGCTGTAAGTGCTATGAGTAGAGAAAGCTCCAACAGAGGCCAGCATTTAGTGCAATCAGATAGAATCAACGTCCGTCAGTCACTCTTGTAGCCGGCCTCGGCCTCCCCCACAATCCAGGCTAAAACGAATAAACCGGGGCAAAGCACGGCGGCCCTCCAAATACACAGACCTCGCACCACCACCACCACCACCACCACTACCACGTCTATCATCGGCAAACGGCTACGTAATTACCTAGCACTACTGCAAAGTAGTCAGTCCTCTTGGAGCCTAGCTCCCCTTCTTAGTCTAGGACGAGCACTGTCTTCGCTGAAGAAATGCCGACTCGACGAACCCAACCCGCAGCGCGTCGGCCTAAGAGGCTGTATCGAAATAGAGCGGAGATTCCCGCTTGAGGCTTGATATGTGTGCACCTCCCCCGGATCCAATGCCAACCTGAAGCACCCCATCCAGCAGATCACCACGAACCGACGCACCGAACAAAACCGCAACGGTGCGGTTGCCTCCAAGACCAAGTGACATGGCCGACGATCCAAGAGAAGGGGGGGGAGCAAACGAGAAAGGGCCAAGGCTTGACGGCCACGCTCCTACGGTTGAATTCGGATGCTTCGGGTGGATCGCGAAACCCGTGGATACATACATACGCCTGTCTCAAGGGGCCCCTGATTTTGATTTTGATTTTCCATCTCGTCCTTCATACTCCGAGTCGACCATCTCTCTACTAAATGTACCACTATTGCAAGCTGTGTTCAAGGTACGCATCGTCCCAAAGTCTCTCTGGAGGTGAGAGTTATCCCGGACTCTTAGTAACAACGTTCAACGTCTATCATCGGGTTTCTACTTTACCGGCATTCCTTCAATGCCACTCGTTTACTATTAACACCCGCCAATGCTGTAACTCAATCCACGGCCACTCGTACAAATCCTCCCATCTCATGCAACCCGACAAAATACCACCAAGTCGACCAGTAACAACCTCGGCCGGTTCCCAATACCCTCTCTTCTCGAACATCACAAGCTTGCGAGCCCACCGACACACGCCGGACCCCTCTTATCGCTCCCAAACTGACCCCTCGACGTCGATCTTGGGCAAAGTGTGTCACGCCAGTCCCCGGCCCCCCTCCTCTGCTCCGTGCCCGACCTGTCATCTCACATCGCCCGGCGGAATGGATGCATTCACCTCCTCGACCAGTGTAACCGCAGATCTGGGAATCGTCACGCATCCTGCAGCAAGCCTTCAAGAGGCCGTCTCCCCTTCATGCGGAATCTTTGGCCCCGATCCCCTTGCTCCCCATTCTGCTGTTGCATTGGCGCTCCTCATACGACCTCACGGCCCACGTTCGTCCGGATTTGACTGATACAAGTGACGGATCAACGAGATGCCAGGCCAGGGGTTGGATAAGTAAAACACCCCCAATCGACCCGGGCTCGGCTCCGTCCACGCAACCCCTGCCCTCGAGATATGGGCTTCTCCAAATTGCTCCAGAACCGCTGAGCACCGTCGTGATGTCGGGACCTGATATACATGCCCGCCGCCTCGCCGTCATCGTCATCGGCGGTCATCCTAAGCGATGGTTGCATGCATGCATGCCCCCCGTTCTCGTATTTAACAGCGCGGGTCCCTCGCGCGTCTATGTGCGCAAGAAAGCCATCATCCACCATTGACCCTTCAGCTTAACGATAGCAAACCTTGGCGGATGATTCCGTGGGGAGCAAATCTCCCAAGCCAAACATTCTCCCCTGCGTCCCGGTGCAGGCGCATTGAACGGCCACCCATCGCCGACGATGATCTGCCATGCCGCCAAGAGATACAATGGTCATCAGTGTTTCAATCACAATAGCAACGGCTTTTAAAGTCAAGAGACATGGGACGGCATTTGAGCCGAAAGCGGCTCCCGCCGTGTACTTCAATTTTCCCTGTCGCCTAGCCAAGCACTTTTATGAGACGACCAGGAAACTACTCGTACGGCCTATCATCATGTTTTTGTGCATTACTCTCCGAGCTCGTCCCCCCCACTCTCCAAACCGCAGACCTCAAAGCCGCGATATGCTGTCGACTTGTTCGCTGCTCGCGCCTTCGCCCCTTCCTACCGGCGAGACGCTCTGCCCATAGGTCCTCTCCTCTTCGTGCCGTAGACGGCTTCTCCTTGCATCCTCAACGACATCCCTCCGCCCCGCCTAGTAGAACAGCAGGTCCAGATGCTTCTTATCGTCCACATACCGCTCCCTGAACTCCTGCCGCGTCAGCCACCTCGCGAGCGGCAGCATCGTGTCCTTCATGTCCATGACGCCGCGCTTCTTCTGGTCAATGTGCGACGCGTCCACCACGATGCGCTGTAGCTTCTCCAGTGATAATGCCCCTTTTTTCCCACTCGTCAGTCAGCCTCTCTACTCGCCGAGTCAGGAGGGTGGGGGTTGCCTCTTATAGTAAAGAGGAAAGGAGGGCAGCGATACTCACCATTCTCGGCCAACTCCATAAGCCTCGCCGGCGTGCCGACTGCAATGCCCGTCCGCGTGTTCTGCAAGAGCTTAACCTGCTCATCCACCTTCATGTGCTTTGCGAACTGCAGGCGTCTGTTAGAGCGCATCTCATCCATGAAACAAGAAAGGGGAGAAAACCTCCCAAGAAACGAATAACATGGCGCCTGTCGATCGGTAGAACGACCGGGAGGCGAGGGGGCTGACTTACAAGCTTCAAAACGGTGTTCTTCTTAGTCTGGAACTTCCTCACGGCGCGCACGATGTCCGCCGCCCGCAGGCCGGCCCCGGCGACGATGATGGTGTGCGGAGCGCCCTTCTTCTCGGGCGCTCTGCCCAGACTTTCGGGCTTCTCGGCGAACTTTTCCAGGAACTCGGGCAGCTTCTCTAGGGCTCTGGGTTCCGTCCAAGACGTTGTGTCCTTGATGGAGTTTGCTGCCGTCGTCTGTTAGCCATGTGTCACCAATACCGGGATCATATCATCCTGCCTCTCATTAGGGAGTTTCCTACAGCCCCTAATGTGAGAGGAAAACGGGGACGGATGAGAACTCACCTGAGATGGACAAGTCGGACACCTCGACGGGGCTTAGATCCGTGCCGAACCGGGCAATCTTCTGCGCGGTGTAGTCGGCGAGTAGCTGGTTGTCCATGACGGCGAAAGCTTCGTTGATGTCCAGCTCGCTGTTCAGGAGCGTCTCGTCGACGTGGTACGCCGACTTCTTCTTCTTCTTCTTCGTCTGGCCCTCGCCGTCCTGGCTCGGCGCCGCTCTCTTCTTGGGGTTGGACATGGTGAATGTGATGGTGTTTTTGGCCTTTTTACGCGATGTCTCTGGTGAAGAAGCGCTGCCAAGTTGCGTGGCGTTGAGCGACAAGTCGGATAAATGGGTATCGGTGAGGATGAGGATTGGTGTTGTTGAACGTGAGCTCGCCGCCCATGAAAATTTCAGCTCGCGAGGAAAAGTCAGTTTCGCACTGTACTTCGCCGGCGGGACCACCTAAATTGCGCCTGGGGTGGCAGAGCGGTATTGCTGAGGTTGCCCACTGCAGCACGCACAGTGCGCGGGCGCATCCGCTGGAACCAGCGCTAGAAACCCAGCTCTTTCCCTGGACGTCTGGTCATGGGCTCTCACACGCACATCAGCTTCTGGTTGCCCGTTATGAGGATAGATTCTGTGTCTCTAGAGATGCTGAACGATCTTCATATCCCAGATTGCTTGAATTCAGGGTGCTGCTACGTTCTTTTATGTCGATCAGGTAGATGTCTGCATCCTGATCACCTTCATCAAGATGCCGCGTGGTTCCTCAATCTAGAACTGCGTTTCCGTGATGCACGTAGATATATAAGATGTGCAAAGTCTAGGCACTTGACAATTTGATGATTTAAGCGTTGATAGAATAAGACGAAAAAAGTATATGAGGCTTCTTCTGCCAGAGCTTGATGGCTTTGCTCCCGTGGTAGGTTGCTCAGAACATCTCTGGCACCGTCTAGTTGTGGTATTAGAGCTCCAACAGCTTCAGCAACCTCGCCTATGAACTACAGTTCAGAAACGCCAGGTAACACCGCTACTTCAAGTTGAAATGCATACCCTAACGCTGACTGAAATAAAAGCAAAATCCACGATATGCAGTGCAACCACATGGAAAGCCACATCCTATATCTCACGCCCGCTGGCCATCTCCGTGGTGCCGACCCCGTCAGTCGCCCCACCAGGCCGCCGAACTGGCCACCGCAAGTCCGCCGTCCTCTTCTATGTATGTAAGCCAGAGTCGGTCGGTGCAGACTCCGTGCCAGCGAGAGGCGCCCCCACTAAAATTTTCAAAACTCCCTTATCTCCCCACACCGAAACTTTTTTTTCCTGTGATAGGAGCAAAGCCTACCAGTCCCTGGGCAACAAGTCTGAAATATTTTGGTCGAAGCGTCTTTTTGCTCCACAGCCTCAATTGGGAACCGCCATCCGGGTTCCGATACCCAGTTCCTCAAGTCTCTTCCCTTCTCCCAGCAGAACAACCAACTCTCGCAGCCACAACCATTCCCCTTTGCCGACTCTTCTTCTTCACCCTCCTCTCTCCTGTACCTCCAAGCCGCAAAAATGGCCTCCGCAGAGCTCTCTTCCAAGAAGCGCAAGCGCGCCGAGGCCGCCGCCGCCTCCACGGACGACGCCGTGACCAAGAAGTCCAAGTCCGAAAAGAAGGAGAAGAAGGAGAAGAAGGAAAAGAAGGCGGCCGACCCCGAGCCGGCGACCGAGTTCATCCCCCTCGAGGAATCCAAGGCCGAGAAGAAAGAGCGCAAGCGCAAAGAGAAGGAGGCCCGCAAAGCGGCCGAGGCCTCGACAGAAGACCCAGCCGACGCCTCGGCCATGGACGTAGACCCCCCCGCCGCTACGGAGGACTCCAAGAAGGAGAAGAAGAGCAAGAAGTCCAAGGCCGCCTCCGCGGACGATGAAGACAAGACAGAAAAGAAGGAGAAGAAGGAGAAGAAGAAGGAAAAGAAGGAAAAGGAGGCCAACGGCGACGCCGCTGCCGCTGCCGCTGCCACCGCCGTCGAAGAGAAGCCCGCCAAGTCGGAAAAGAAGTCCAAGAAGTCGAAAAAGTCCAAAGACGAGCCAGCCGCCGAGGCTGTCGAGCCCGCTGCGGCAGCCGGCGGCGAGGAAGAGACCTCCGCCGAGGGAGCAAAGAGGGAGAAGTACATTGTCTTTGTCGGTAAGCCATGCCGTCCCTCCCCCTTCCCTGCTCCGGCCTACGATTCAAAATTGCTTCGAGACCGTCCTCATCTCTTAACCCCCCCCCCCCCCCCCCCAACCTCCCGCAAGCCCAGATGAGAGAACCTTTCTCCCCGCCCTCCTAGTACTGACGCCATTGGTGGTGCCCAGGTAACCTCCCCTACACGGCCAACAAGGAGTCCATCATGGCGCACTTCGCCGCCTACAAGCCGACCACCGTCCGCTGCCTCCATAAGGACGGCAACCCCAACGTCTGCCGCGGCATCGCCTTCCTCGAGTTCTCCAACGGCTCCAACATGCGCACCTGCCTCGACAAGATGCACCACACCGAGTTTGACGACGGTCTGTCGCCCGCGCGCCGCATCAACCTCGAGCTTTCGTGCGTTCCCCCGTCTCCATTAGCCCCCTCTCAGACTCTATTCAGCGCACTCCTCTTTCTTCACCTCTCCAACCTTCGTACTACAATAAAAAGGACATGCTAACGAACCCATTCAGTGCTGGCGGCGGCGGCAAGAGCAAGTTCCGCAAGGAGAAGATCAAGGAGCGCAACGCCCACCTCGACGAGAACCGCGCCAAGCGCTTGCAGAAGGAGGAAGAATACAAGAAGCAGCGGGTGACCCAGGGCGGGGCGAATTCCCAGCAGGACAGCATCCACCCGAGCCGCCTGGCCATGATGTATCAGTAGACGGGGGGTGATTCTATCTTGTATCCCGTGAAGATTTGCGGTCGTACTTTGGGTCAGGGTTCGGCTTGGGCTTGTTAAATCTTGGATACACCAGGTGCTGTGTGGTATAGACGGGCTATGCAGTCTCACTGGACGGACCAGTACCAGGTCTCATGTTAGATACCCAGGGATGTTTGCAGTAAAAGTCAATTCTCAAGGCGAAGCTCGTATCCCGTCCTAACCTACTGTCTAGTTTCCTCCGTGGATAAAAGAAGAAAAAAAAGTGGTGTCTTTGTGAGAGTGTGTACTATCTACAGAAAACTTGGGATATCCTTGTGTAATGAGATGCAAAGCTTGCCTGCTACCAACGTCCATTCTCCCCCTTGCAGTTGCCATCTTCAGTCTTTTTCCGGGTGAAAGAGAGAAGCGACAACAAAGCATATTCCATTCGTCACACCGCCGCAACGTATCTGTGATACATGGCCATGTCTGTAACAAGGCCAGGCATGGGAGGTGAGCGAAATCGAATAGTTGGGGTCGTTGTGATCTTCGCAGGATGAGCTGAGCTGGGCTCTCTGCAGAGTGTGCCTCCGAAGTAGTGTCGTTCTTTGAAATAAGCGCAAGGCACAGAGATGTGCAACATGATCCAGTCTTAACGGACAGGTAGCGAAGAACTGGTCGTGTAATCCACCTCTTTACGCCATTTCCAATATTAACCTGCAACGCTGAAGATCATTTGAACGCGTTTACAAAATCGTGCACTTGGACTTCTTCTTCTGCTGGACGACAGGTCGGGGGTTCAAGACGGCGCTAGAGGCTTGTCAGCTGAATTCACCCAGCCTTGGCATCAATCTTACCGAATGGCCTCGTCAAAAACGCTCTTGAGATTCCTCTGTGTGAGAGCAGAGCATTCAAGGTACTTATGCGCCCTGATCTCCTTGGCACAAATCAGAGCCTGATCGTACGAGACAGGCTCCATACGCTTTTGGCGGAGCGACTCGAGGGTGTTGGGGTCCTCTCTCAAATCGAGCTTGGTACCGACGAGAATGATGGGAATGTTAGGTGCGTGGTGATCGATTTCGGGGTACCACTGCGCATCGTTAGTGCTGATTCCCACGTGGTGAGACTGCAGGTCGGCATACCTTGGCCTTGACGTTGTCAAATGATGGCGGGCTGACAATGGAGAAGCAAATGAGAAAGACGTCGGTTTGGGGGTAAGAAAGAGGTCGCAGTCTGTCGTAATCCTCCTGACCAGCAGTATCCCACAGTCCCAAGCTAATCGGCTTTCCGTCGACCATCACACTCGCGGAGTAGTTGTCGAAGCTAGAAACTGGTCAGATCGGGCCTAACAAGATTTGCGGACGCTGCCTCCTGTACTTACACAGTAGGGATGTACTCGCCGGGGAAGGCGTTCGTTGTGTAGGAAATCAGCAAGCATGTCTGCAGGAAACGTCAGTCACAAGACATAGAAGGACATCGTTTCGAAGGAGGGCTTACCTTTCCGACAGCACCGTCACCTGTCACCACACACTGCGAGACGAAGCCTGTTAGCATTTGTGCTCCATTCCACCCAAGTCGGTGGCGATAGCGACGGCTGGCACGACGCACCTTCAAAGACTGGACTCCTGGTTGAGCCATTTCTTTAGTATTTTGGGTTGGCGATGTGAGGTTGGATTCCACAACAGTTGTTAGCGCGAATAGAGTTCGCGGGTTAAGAGAGGCGGCGTCGGATTGGTTATCGATCCGAGAGGGGAGTCTGGGGGATCAAGTACGACGCAAGGTTGCTGAGTGGATGGAACAGGGGGAAACGGTGAGCGATTCTCTGGCGGTGATCGCTCGGGGATGCTGGGTGGTCCTAGGGACTCGCAATTACGGATGGCAGCGTAGAGTGCTTCGGTATTGAGTATAGTATGATTGATTGTACGAGGCGAGTGGCCTGGGAGTCGTGACGTGCCGTGTTGTGTCGAACGGACTAAGCGATGACAGGATTCTGGTAGCAAGAGCAGACGAGACAAGGCAGGAGCGGTCGGAGAGACGATTGGTCTCTGTGTATCTGTTTGACAGCAAGGTCAGGTCTGGTAGAACAGAGCAATAGGTTGAGGTCAGGTACGAACAGGTGGTAGAGCAGAGTTGGAGTGGCAGAAAACGAAGCAGACACACTGCACAGCAGTAGCAAAAGACAGGTGCGTAGTCTAAGCTCTGGTGGGTTCTTGTGGCTGCATAAAGAGTCGAGGTCAGAAATGTTTTGACACAGCGGAAGGAATTAGTGCCGCAGGAGGTGAAGCTGGAAGGGTGATAACAGTACCCTGTATATCTAACCTTCTTCTCAGGCAAAGTGGGGATGGGGGCAATTGGGAAACCTGAGGGAAGGGAAGTGGAGGGGTCGGGGGGGGGGGTCAGGGTGGGCAGGGCAGAAGCGGTTTAGGTAGAGTCGCAGAGAGAACGGTAGAGTCGATGTGAGGTGCAGGGAAAGCACAGGTACGGCAAGGCGAGGAGAGGTACCTCGTTGTAGGTATGATAGGTAGGTATCCGTACAAACAGTATGATCAGGCCAAAGAGACAGAGAGACAGACAGATGGACGGACGGACAGGGTAGGGCAAGGGGAAGCCGAGAGGACGGGGGTGGTGGTGTGTTGAAGTGGTGGGAGGTGGGAGAGGACAGGACAGGACAGGACAGGGCACAACACACACTCACCAGGATAGGTACGGTCTGCGTATGGAACGGCGAAAGAATTCGGTATCGGGATATGCTGATGGAAAGCGCCCAACCACAGCAATCTTGTTATTGAAGAAGAAGAGAGGATCTGGAGTTTGTGATCTAAACAAAGGGGCGGTGGAAGCAAATGGGGAGCAGACGCCGCTTCAAGAGTGGTGGACGGGCACGAAGAGGAGATGGCGGTGGATGATGGTTGGACGACGCACGGAGACAGAGAGAGAGAGAGAGAGAGAGAGAGAGCAAGGGAGAGGGGAGAGGGAGTGAGAGGAAAAGAGGATCCGATGCAGTACGGTGCGATACAGAACATACGGGTACGGATGCAGGCGAGGCAAGGCAAGGCCATTAATGTACTCTGTATGGGCCAATGTACCTAAACAGGCGGCATGGGATTGGGAGACCGCCTTGGTAACGTGCCTCAGTACCTCAGAGGCAAGAAGGGGTGGGGTATGGATGGCACGTACCGGCCTGCGGTCTGGCCTGCGATGCAATGCGATGCCATGCGCTGAGGTGCAGTGCAGTGCGTCGCGGGCAGCAAGGAGCTCCTGGCTGCAACAGTTTCGGCGTCGACGCGCTTGACCTTGTGTGTCTGCTGCCCCCAATGGGAAGCGGACTGGTCCGTACAGTGGGAGCTTGGTCAGTAGATATGCCGATGAGCATACAGTGCAGCAAGGCGTTCGGCGGTTGCGACACCAGGACGGGATGGAGTGGGTGGATGGATGGTACAGATAATCATACAAGTATGTGGGCATGCAATGTGAGGCGACGAGGATGAGACTACTATGTATGTACCTACACTACCTACACTAGGAACACCACCAGGCCGTAAGGTGCTGTGTACATAGCTCTTTCCTACCTGGGTAAGTGGTATACCGGTAGGTACATGTCTACTGTACTCCGTAGATACTGTACAAAATGCAGGTAGGTAGGTACGTGCGAACTCTTGGTAAGCACTGCATCAGGTACAATGCTACTGAAGGGATGGGCATCCATTCGGTTCATATTACGGATACGCGGGTTCAGAGGAGGCTGGCACACGGATAGGAAAGGAGGACAAGCTGGATTGGGTGGTGAAGACCCAGCAGGCGGGCACGGTGCAGTGCAGGCTAGTCAAACGCTGGTATCTGAATGCTGCGAGTGGGTGTGGATGTTTGGACTGTAGACGGTGGATGGTTGAATGTGGATGGCAGCACCAGAGGTGGGTGCCATGTGTGGATGGGCAGCGGGTGACATGGGGAATAAACCTTGGAAGCCAAGGTCTGGAAACCCACGACGGCCGAAGAAGTCGCCAGCATCGGCCAAACAGAGAGTAGATAGGTATGGCAGTGCATGCGTGCGAGGAAGTGCTAGGTAGAGGAAGAAAGAAAGAAAGGGGTGGTTGTGGTTGTGGTTCTGGAGGTCCGTGCCGACTTCAGTTCTAATGTCGGTGGTTGGCATTCGCTCGCAGACGTTCCGCCGGGAAGGGGAGGTACCTGGTGGTACTTAGGCGGTACAGGGTACCTTAACTCTCAGTGGCCGTTGAAAGGCGACTATGATGATGACATGCGTGTCTTGCGGGAAGGGGCCAAACTCCTCCAACCCCGAGTTACCTTGGATAGTGTCAGAGATATAAGAGTGGCATCAGTTCACAAGGAGACGATGTGTTGAGGCAGACAGCACTCTCGACTCTCAACCTCTCAACTACCAAGTACATTGGTCCGTCCACATGGTTGGTGTCGAAAGGGTCGTGTTGGTGTCGCGGAAACCCCAGCTAGAAACTCCAGCGGCCTCGAACAATATGAACAAGCCCCCTTTCATTGGCCGTGAGTCGAGACCAGGGACCAATGACTGGTGCTGTCTCCGAGGAGCCAAGACTCTTCAGGCGCCAACCCAACGGCAAGCCGATGGCGCTTCCTCGAAAAATTGACCGGCTTGACGTCAAACCTCGGGCGACGATGACGGTTCGGTGCTGCCGTACCCAAAGTTTGTCTCATTATCTGATGTGTAGAGGAGGGAAACTCTGCTGTTGATCAGTCTCTCGCATCATGTTTCGGACCTACCATCGCCATGGCACAAACGCTCAGGAGGAAACTCGCCGTCGCTCTTGTCTGTCTACCGTAGTAATTAAACCATGTACGGATAGGTAGAACCATATCAAGTTCATGTACGGCCACGCTACACTGCCTGCCCTACGTAGTAAGTAGTTCTCAAGGTAAGGTTAGGTACCTTGCAGGTAAGCAATCGACCAAACGCAGTTCGCGAAGAGCAGGAGCTAAAAAGTAGTGCGCGCAGGGAGCTCTATCACGTTGCTCCCGGGGAGCCTGAACAGAACCCCTGAAGAGCCCCATCTCAACGTTCAATATGCAATCATTGTCACCGATCGGCCATCCAACAGAATCGGGCTTTTGCAATTTGATCAACCGGAGCGGCCACCTGTTCTGGAGCAGGTGATTTGAGCCCCCCTCCCCCCCCCTCCTCCCCTTTTCGTAGATACGCACAACCCCTTCCCTGAGGCATTCTTCTACACGTGGTAGGCATTTCCCATCCGTCAACCGACATACCCCGTGGCTTCCCAGAGAATTAACGCTGCCTTCCATATCTTTTCCACGGGACGAGATCGAAGGGAAGGAAACAGGGGGGCGTCGACCATAAAAGTGGGTAACATATCCGAAAAGAGGGGTGCCCCCCGGTCCGGCCACCAGAGACTAGGAGACTTTGCGAAACTTGCAAGGAGCTGGGCGCGATATCTGTCAATCGCGGCAATCCTCCTACTCCTTCACCAACCAAACCCCCCCCCCCCCCCCCCCTCGCCATTGCCATTTCCCTCTGTGACCCAGGTTTCTGATGACTCGGGTCCCCTTTGTTTCTTGTTCGTCTCCATCGCCATCGTCGACGTCCAGTCCCGTCTCTTCTGGCTGTCCTTGTGGTTCGCCCGCGCGCACACACACACACACTCTCTCTCTCCCTCTCTCCCTCTCTCCCTCTCTCCCTCTCTCCCTCTCTCCCTCTCTCCCTCTCTCCCTCTCTCCCTCTTTCTCTCTTCACCCAAGCGAGGAACAAAACGTCCGCCCCCCCTTTCGCCGCCCGCCCCAGAACGAAAGTTCAGGCGCCATTTGACGCACGTCTTGTAACAAAATTGCCTGCCCTCGATGGAACACTCAAGGAACGTTTTGAAGCTCCTCATTCTCGCTGTCCCACGTTTTCGAGGGATGCCTGGCCTAACCACTCGCATTGGCCACCCACCTCACTAACACACGTCTCCTCACTCATCCTTTGCCAGCACAAGTCGTTCCCAAAGACTAAGACTGAGACTGACGAACCCCGAGTCGGAAAGCACTCGGTGGTTCATCGACTCGACACTTTATTGACCCCGCGGCCTTGACATCAACCCATATACCCGACATCACCTCGACGGAGCCCGGCACGATCATTGAATCGACTCCATTCGATATCCCGGTCGTACTCTCCTCTGTCTTGCGTCCTTGTCGGCAACTCCAATCATTTGCTGCTTAATAGAGGCCGTAGTTTCCACCTTCCGTCATGGCTGCCCCTCGGAGTCCATCCGACTGGCATCAACCACACCTCATCTCCCACTTTCTTCTGATCTCCCTTACCCGTCTGGTCCCTTCTTGTGGAACACCTCCTGTCAAATGGAAGAAACACTCGTCAGATGACTTGTGGTCTCGGTGGTGGCCACTTATGATGCAATCCACGACGTGTGCCTGAATATGCAGTTCGATACTGCGAACGCCGGCAAACTACTTTGTTCAATAGCCTCCTCCTCTTCTTCTTCTCCCCCCCCCCCCCCCCCTCTTTCTTTCGCTTCATCCTACGGGACCGTCGGCTGTATGAAGTTCGGCCCGTTGTCTGCCACTTGGTTCAGTCGCGAGAAAGTTTTGCTATGCTGGGAATCACCGGGTCGGCTTCTGGGGCCGAGTTTGAGGCTCGTCTCATTCCCTGGTATAATCCCAGTCTTTTTGCTATCGAATGTGTCGTGATTGGATATGTAGCAGGCGGCCTACCTATGGAACATGCATTTTGCGCTCGTCCTTTGCTCGCAACCTTCAACAAGCAGTATCTGCCAACATGCCTTATTACATTCTCGCCCTTGGAAGCATCCGTCAGAACCTTCGTTGTTGACTGAACTCCTGGACTAAGTTCTTACGTGCAATGGCCCTGACATCATCCATAGCAACAAGCCTACCCAAAGAGTGATCCTGTTCTCGATGAGGAAAGCGCACAAACTTTCGCGGCAGTTGGGTCATTGATGACACCAACAAAGCTTGCGTTATTCTTCCCACCTCTCGAATACTTGGGCAACGCGCTATTCGACTGTTATGATCGGTTCAGCAGCCCGCCCTAGACCAAGCTTCGGATGGGTCAAGAGCAGCAGCCTTACCGGCACAACAGGCCCATGCGGAGCCCTCCGAGTCGCCACTCAGTATTCTCCAACGAAGACTGGGCGGTCAAGGCTCCTTTCCATGAAGCACTCTTAAGCATACGGCCCAAATTCGCAGGTGCCGAATTGACTCGGACTCCATCGTCCGTCCCTCTGTGCACATCTTTGCCCAAGCTTAGCGAGGGCGATGGGCAGCGGGCAACGTAACCTACACATTCAACGGCTTCATTATAGGCACCGGGTGCTGATATGTTGGGCACAACAGCCCAGGAATGTTGGTCATTGAGGGCTCGAGGCTGATGAAGCCTGCCACACCGGTAATGAATACAAGTTTACCAGAAATGATGTGCGATATCGTGTTGTTTGTAAGTGGTAGGAAGCCTCCAGGATCAAGTAGGCCGTGGTCGATGAACTCCCGACTGCGCGGTTATGCTGCTTAACAGCCTCATAATGTTGCATATCGAGAACGTATGTCGGATCATCTTGGGGAACTTCTACTACTAATTGTTTGCCTCGCCTCCAACGTACAAGTTGAACGCGAGCACGCAGCATCAGTGATGATGATAGCTACTATCAAGGAGGCCAAGCCTGGTGATCAAGTCTTGCTGAAGGATTCTTCTAATTAGGCTCTATATTAATGCACCATCAGGCTTGATCCAAAAGCCAGGTCCATGCAAGATGCAACGCCACGGGAAGTGAAATTGGAAAATGAGTCAACAGAGTAGAGTTTCGGTAATCTTGCATGACCAGGAGGTATCAGCTGTAGGGCTGAGCAGAAGCATACGGAGGGCACTTGATCTAGATTCACTTCGATAAGGTGTCATGGAGATCCTGAAGGGAGAATGGCCACTGTGGGTGGTGGTGCTGAATCAAGTGAGTCCTCGACTAAAAATATTGCTCAGTAGCGGTATCACGTACTCTGGTCAATGACTTGGCCCAAGTCCGCCATGTCCCTGAACTGTAAACCTTTCAGGGTGGAGGTCAACCATGTTGGCGCCGACAACCGGCTCACAAGCCTGAGTCGGTGTTGGAAATGAAGTTGAAATGTATCTTGTCAAGAAGTGTACTGAACTCGACGTTCAGACCTCTAGGCACGCAAAGAGGGAGCTGAGCCTACCAGCTCGGCGAATCCAAACCTTCAAAATGGACTGCGCGATTTCTGCAAGGGAGTTTGTAGTCGAGTCAGTGTTCGCCTCTCTCCCTTCTCCCCCTTCTCTTTCTCGCTCTCTCTCGGGTAGCTCGCTCTTACTAGATAAACTTTGAAACGTGACATCAGCTGTTGTTGAAAACATGACCCTCCTTCCATACAAGATTTTATTCTACACGGCGCATCCGCCCCTCTACGTAGTCAATCGTGGTAAAACGTTTGGTGAACCGGTTCCACTGGTTGCCGATTGTGGGGCCGGAAAGGCGGGGGCTTGTCTTGTGGTCCGTGCCTCTTCGACCCTTGTTGACGATAGCCGTCGCACGGCGTGAAGGCGCGTCGAGCGTCGCGTCGTCCTGCACAGCTCCGACGCAGTGGGGGGGAGTCTAGACCGCGTCCACGACCGTCAAGAAACTCCACTTCAGCCGTGCTCCGAACTACGTCCAGTCGACCAAGCGTTGTTGCCTTGGGCCAATTGATCTGTATCTATGCCTACGGCGCGACAGCGCGGTGTGCAGCCTCTTATCGTTCGCGACGATCAGACATCGAGTCGCCGTATCCCATTCACCACCTAACGATGTCTTCACCACCCCTCCGCACCCCTCTCGCAGCTCGTCTCGCCGCAGCGGTAGGCGCAGACGACGACGATCCTCTATTCTCTCCCGCCCTTGATGCGACAACGACCCCGTTCCGCAGCGCCCCCAACCTCGACCCTCCGTCGAGCCGCGCCTCCCTCCGCACGCCGTCCAACAACCCGCTTCGCAGCTCCCTCCGCAGCTCCGCCTACCGCGGTCTCTCCGCCTCGGGCCGCCGTTCCGTCACCGCGGCCACGACGCCGCACGCCCGCGCCGCCTATCGTACCATCGACGCTCGACGTGCGGCCGCGCTGACCCCCGGCAAGAACAAGCGACGCGAGAGTTTCCGGCCTCGGCGCGAATCGATACATGACATCCTCCGTGGGCTTAGCCGGGTCGTGAAGCATGACACGCAGCCGATCTCCTCGTCCTCCTCGCCAAGCGACCTGGGCTCGAGGGCGCCGAGCACGAGCCTGCCGATCCGGACCGCGGGCGGGGACCGCCGGAGTCTAGCGTACGGGGACGACGACGACGACGATGACGAGCTTCCCATCGATAGGCCGAGGTTGTCGTTACCGTTGGACGTCGACGACGACGATGATGATTTGGTGGCACCCGAGCTGTCGCAGATTGATGAGAATGCGACGATTGAGTTTCCGAGAAGGGCGTATACGGATCAACAGTCGCGGATGTCGATGGGGAGCGTGCGGCTGAGCGAGTACAGGAACTACGACGACCTGGATGACGATGACAGTGATGGCGGGGAAGGCTTCTTTCCCGGGTTCGAGGTCGGTGCATTGGACGAGGAGGGCGGACGAGATCAAGAGGAGACGTTTGACAGGTTAGTGTCCCCAGGAGCGACACGTTCTGAATCGAGGCGGTCGCTGACGCAGGTAGCAGAGTGGAGGACGAGGCCCTTCGACGACAGACGCTCGCATCGGCAAGGGAGAGCGACTTCGGGTTTGAGGTGCCCGTGGACGCAGACAACCAGACCACGTTCATGATGGCGGTGGAGGGACAGAGCTCGCCGGCACGGCCGCTGCCGGAGTTCACAGACGAACAGCCGTCCCTGAACATCGCGCCGGCCTACGACGAGCCGAACCCGCCCGTGGACGAGGACGCCGGCTTCGGGAACTCGTACTACGACCTGCGCAGCTCGACGCCGATCGAGCCGGCCGAGGCAACGGGGCTTGACGGCGACGAAACCAAGGCCAGCGCGTACGCCGGCCCGCAGCACCGGTCGCGCAAGACCAAAGCCGGCGTCAAGTTGTCAAAGTACAACATGGAGTACCCGTCACTGCCGCCGGCGGTGGTCAAGAGGTTGGCCAACACGTTTGCGCGGTCGAGCGGCATCAGCAAAACCAAGATCGGCCCGGAGGCGCTGGCCGAGATCCAGCGGGCGTCGGACTGGTTCTTTGAGCAGCTGGGCGACGACCTGGCGGCGTACGCGAGGCACGCGAAGCGAAAGACTATCGACGAGAGCGATATGCTCACTCTCATGCGGAGGTAAGCTTTTATCTTCTTCTTTTTTCTTTGTCTTCAATCAAATTACAGGACCCTATTTGGGGGGTATCAACTTCCTTTTCAGTTGCTATACACAGAAGCTTTTGGTACAAGTTTTGTTTTGCCTAATACTCTTACAGACAACGACAGACCAGCCAGACGGCTACCCCCTTTTCCCTGGCGCACAGGCACCTGCCCCGGGAACTGCTGCAGGAGTTGAGGATGCCCAAGCCGCCGGCGCCGACGGAGCCGAGGAAGAAGCGCCGTCGCGTGACCAACGGCGAAGGAGAGGAGGAGGTGACCTGAACAATCTCATGTCACAGCCACCACCACGCGTGGTCTATCTCTCTCTCTCGCTCCCGCTCCCGCTCTCTCTCCTCAAAGAGATCAGAGCGTCCTTACCAATGTTTGTTCATGCGCACCCGTCGTGAGACGTCAGATGGGGGCTTCTTGACGACCATCCACAGCATAATTGAGGTGGCAAACGCAAGCCCATACCTGTCATGAGTTATCAGCATCGACTGTGGAGAAAATCATGGAGGATAACGATGGAAAGCAAATGAGTCTTACCATGTGAAGATGTACTGGGCATGGTTATTTCGCAGGTTCACCTCGGCGGCTCTTCCGATAGGAATGCCCTTGGACTTGAGATCCATGACGCGGAAGAACTCGTGATCTGCGGGGAAGGGTCAGTATCATGATGCATGTACACTATAGAAAGCTCCCTCACAAGGAAGGGAGAAAAGCCTTCGGGGACAGACAGTCTACATACCCAGAGTAGCCTCAATCCAAACGGGCTGACTACCCGTCAGCTCCGCCATCTGGTGCACGTCAGGGAAGAAAAACTCCCAGCGGTCCGGGCGGTTATCGGGCGTGAACATGTTCTTTTTCCACGGCTCACGCAACAAGCCTTCAACCGTGACCTCGCCCCTCGGCAGCGCGCTCGCGGGCCTCTTCCGCTGGTCCGCCATGTCCTTGGAGATCCACCCGCGGTTCACCAGCACCGTGGTTCCTTCCCCTTCACGCTCGAGCGGCGTGACGACCATATACCCCTGCTCACCGTCCCACATCCTGGGCCCGATGAGCATCTCCTTGTCGTGGCGGAAGCGACCTGTCGCGTAGACGCGGCGGTAGTCGAACTCGGCGACGGCGTCGGGGTCAATCTTGGGCGGGAGGGGGAGGGGGTCGCGGACGAGGCGGTCCTCGAACTTGGCGATGAGGTCCGTCTTCCAGCCGAGGCGCTGGACCTGCCATGTGCCGAGGGCGAAAGCGGTGATGGGGATCAGGGCGAGGATGATGAGTCCCGGGCCATGACGGCGGCCGGCGCGGACCAGTTCAGGGGGGTTGTCGACGATGGAGATGAAGTCCGGGGGCGGCTCGGAGGCGCGGGCGCGAGGAGTGGTGTGGAACTTGCGGGTTGAGGAGTCGCTGGAGGAGGAGGATGGTGTAGCAGTCGGCGCGCGGGGACGGGGGAGGATTCTGGGGCGGGCGATCAATCTGAGGCAGGTCTGCGCTGCGAGACCTGAAGGCCGGAGCAAGGCGTTTGTTGGCAGTGGAGGCGGCATGGTGAATCGGTCGTTTTCGCGCCGTGGACTGGGTGGTGGTGCGTGGGATGGTCGGAGGCTTGAAGTTCGATGAGGTCAGGACATTTCGGTTTTTGGGGGACCGACGGGTTCCATTTCCAGGGTACCTTTTTTTTGCTCAGCACGCTGTAGGTGGCGTCCAGCGTGGGGGGGTTCTTTAAAAAGATATGATTGGCTGATACCCGCATGGTGGATTCATTCCCGGATGCAAGGGGGATTAGCCACTCCCCCATCCCATGCTAAGGTAAAGGTCCTCTCTTTTGAACGTGTGACGACACCTGTCCCCCGTCGAGTTTCTGATATCCTCACTCAGCAGCATTGACCCAGACGACCTTGTCTGAGAGGTTGGTTCCACGGCCTTGAGTCTCGCACGCCGAAGGTTGTTTCGAGTTTTGGACGATATCTTGTGAGCCAGTTTTACGTACCTACGTACAATTCCATCCGACCGTGGATGTGCCGTCCGGGGTCGAGATCCACATCATATTCCCTTCGTTGCATTTGTAAGGCTTGGTCCAGCGAATCCATTTACCGCAAATCACAAGCGCCCGAATCATAGCTGGAAGAGCAAGAATTGCAACCATGTTCTTCACAGGAAGCTTGCAAGAAGGTATCGCCACGGCGCTGCAGCATAACAAATGCGTCTTCTGCTTTGTCACGGGTAAGCTTATATACCACACTCTCATCATCGTTTGCGACCGCATAACTGACACAGGTTAGACGAAGAAGCTGAGAGCCAAGCCTGGGAGACCGAGTACCTGACCGAAGGCGCTGTAAGCATCAGGCCATGGACAGGATGCTTCCAAAGCTCACACAGTTTAGATTGCAGCTCTGCTCCAAGATGGAGCTGTCGCCCTCCGGTTGAAGAAGGACTCTGAAGAGGCAGGCTACCTGGCCGCCATCTTCCCGCTTCCCAAAACTCCTACTGTTGTCATCATCAAGAATGGCGACCTCAAGGAGTACATCACCGCCGGAACCAGCAAGGATGAGTTCGTCAGACGGGTGACCACAGCCTTCAGCGGTGCCCAGGGCCAACCCGCTGCCCCCCAACCTGCCGCGGCCCCAGCTCCCGCTCCGGCTGCTCAAGCGACTGATGATCTGTACGAGGAGACTCCCTCCAACCCTCTCCAAACCGCACCCGCCAGACCTAGCACATCCGATTCTAGCCCCCGCGGCCCTGCCACCCCAACCCAGGAAGAAGAAAACGCAGCCATCCTGCGTACAGTCCTCGCAGAACGTGCTGCTCGTCTCGAGGCTCAACGTATCGAATCCGAGCGTAAGGCGAAAGCGGCTCGTGCCGCGGCCGCGGAGAAGGCCGAGACCGACAACTCCAAGCAAGCCGAGCAGACGCGCAACCACAAGGCCGCCCTCAAGAAAGCGCGCCAGGATGCCGCAGACGAGAAGGCGCGCATCCTGAAAAAGATCGAGGACGACCGCGCCGAGCGACGGGCCAAGGCCGCAGAGCGCGCTGCCATCCGGAACCAAGCGTCCTCGCCAAAGCTAGGTGAAGTCGCAGCTGCGCTGACGAGGTCCGAGTCGAGTTCCCTTGCGCCGTCGACATCCTCCGCGAGCGGTATGACGGCGCTACAGGTGCGTCTCCTGGACGGTTCCACGATCCGCTCGCGGTTCCCGAACAAGGCCACCCTTGCCAAGGATGTGCGAACGTGGGTCAATAGCGAGTGGACGGACGGGAGCAAGGAGCCGTACCGTTTCAAGGTCGTACTTGCGCCGTTGCCGAGCAAGCTCATTGACGACACGGAGGAGAGCAAGTGTCTTGAAGAGCTGAGCCTCTCGCCGTCTTCTACTCTCGTATTGGCGCCCGTCGGCGCACACGTCAGCGCTTACCAAGGGTCCTCTCTGGGGAGCATGGCCGTAGAGTTTCTGCTGCTGCCGTTGGCGCTACTGCAGTGGCTCTGGGGACTCATCTCGGGCGTGTTCACCAAACTCGGGACTTCGAGGCAGGCCGCGGATGAGGGTGGCGCGGAGCCTGTCACGGTGAGGGAGCAGCGCAAGGGAAAGTTCTCGCAGTTTGCAAACCCGAATGATCGGAAAAACGATCATCAGCTTTACAACGGGAACTCGGTCAGTTCTTACCCGTCCCTTATTCCAAGGAGAGGCAAAGATGAAGCACGAAAGCTGACTGTCGCAGTTGAACTTTGAGCCGCGGCCAGACGAGAAGAAGGACGAGTAAGGAGAGTGGTTGCCAAACAAGCACGCCGCACTGAAGTAATGGAAGGAGAGCATCGAACTCGTACGAGTGGGAATGTCATCTATTGTACACCGTGGGACATGTAATAATTTGGTCAAAAAGGCCCCCTTGCTCCATGCTTCTGCCAATGCATGCCATACAAAACTCCGTGAAGCTCCGCGCACAGTTTGCCGCTGGTTGTTGTTTTCGAATTTCCTTTCCTTAATCTCCTTTTCGGCTATTAATTTACATGTAACGTTCTCGTCTCCTCCCAGACATGACAGCATGTCAACGTGCTAGGCTTCACTATCTCACACGACAAGTTTGCATCCGACCCTCCGGGACACAAGACGTGGCATGAGGATGGGAAGCGTCTAGTACTGGCTGGCAGCGGACTGGCAGGCCTTGAGCTGCTCGAGGTACCAGTTGCAGATCTGCATGTTGCCGCCGTGCTCGTCCATGCACTTTGTGAACTGCTGGGTCGCGCCGGCGCAGTTGTTGCCCCACTGCTGCGTCGTCTGGGACTCGCCCGAGGCGACGGGGGAGTTGTTCTGGGGCGCGGCCTCGGCGGGCGCGGAGGAGCCGCCACCGAACATGCCGCCGATGGCGTGGCCAATGGAGGAGCCAATTGCGACACCGCTGTTCGATGGTTTCGTTAGCATCTCGGTACTGAACTGGATCATACTGCACTTCGTGGGGTTTGTAAAAGGATAAACAGGAGCAGCCCCCGAGCCCCGAGGGCTCGAGGGTTACTCCTTGCGCGGGGGGGGGGGGGGGGGTTGTAGATCTTGACGACGGAAGAGGAGTACGGAGACGTACGCAGCGGTGCTGGCCATCTGGCCGAAGAGGCCGGGGCCCTGCGAGGGGGCCGCGGCGGCAGGCGGGGGAGCGGCGTGCTGTTGGGGAGGAGCGGCCATGGTCGAGGCAGGGCGAGACTGGACGGGGGCGGGCTTCGCGGCCGAGACGGTAGGGCGCGATGGGGCGGCGCTGGGGCGGCCGGCGGAGCGTTGACGAGGCATTTTGAAGATGTGTGTGCGGGTTTGTGAAGTCGGCTAGAGAGAGTGTGTGTATATCGTGAGATGTTTGGCTGGCTCGTAAGGAAAGAATGTGTTGGTGTTGTGAGAGAAAGTTGAAGATGCGGATCTGGAGGGAAATCGGCAGAAGTTATGCGCCGAGCCGGGGTTCGACGCTACTGCTGCTGAAAGCTCGGATTTTCGATTCGAGCCGGGGTGGGTGGCGAGGTGTGGCCAATCAAGTGATGGCGAATGTGATCGTGTTCAGGAATTCGGGGTAGGGGTCATTGCATGGGTTATGCAACAAAAGGGGTACTGGCTTGGATATGTAGTCTGAGAATGGCGATGAAACTGAAATGAATGAGCGTCGGCAGGTACTTCATCAGTTGAAGACTTTTTTCTCATTGTGATTCGTTATTTGGTATCTATGTCTATCCCGAGGGTATCCGATCTCCTAGTGCACAAGAATAATGTTGACCACTACCCCCCCGTGATGAACTTCTCAATACCTATCATACTCAAACCTTAATCTCACTTGGGTAGACTGTAATCAGGCCCCGCTCTTGTTGAGATGTATCTGGCCCGGTGAGAACGTGACCTAGCTAGAGGGGCTCATTTGTCCCATGCGTCGATGCCCCGGGACATCTAATACACGGCCTGTACTCCCGATGCCCATTCTACAGCCTTGGAAACCCGGTTCGTGCTGTGTGCTGTATTTGTTTAACTCCCATTTCCACATAGACGGCTCAGGATCTGCTATTCCTTCCGGTGCTCTTCCTCTTTGAGCTTCTCAGCTTCTTCTCCGGGCCGGAGGAGCTGGCTGGCGGTGATTCGGGAGCGGGTCTTTTGGGCCTCTGCATGGAGTTGAGCAGCGCCTTCGCGCGCTCCTCAGCCAGTTTCTCCTCCAGCTTCTTCTTCAAACTCTTGTCGTTCTCGCCCTACACAGATTTAGTTAGGTGTTCTCAGCATTGCCCGGCGAGAGCCACTTACGAGATCCGCCTTGAGAATCCGCGTAGCAGCCTCAGTGTTGACGGTCATGGTCCGCTGGGCCGGTACCTCTTCGGCCTTCTTGATCTTTCCAAAGTACTGTTGCACGCGCTTGAGTTCCGTCATGACTTGATGGTCCTTGGCGTCTACGCCTTGCAGACGGAGGGAAGCTGCAATAATGTGTTAGCGGCTGATTTGCTTCGGAAATGGAGAATGACTGACAGAAGAGAAGAGATTCGATGGCATAAGCTGTGAGGGCGAACATCTTCGCCTTGTCGAGAAGCGGGAGCTCGTTGGCCATTTCGGGAAGGCCGTCAATCAGGGGCTTGAGCGCATCCTCGAGAGAGTCGATGTGAGAATCGAGCTTCTCCAGGTCGTGTGTCATGTCCTTCAAGGCCATCTTGGTGGCTTTTTTATGTGGCGAAAAGAAACGGGCCAGAATATCAAGAGTGAGCCCGTACCTAACGATAGTCAAGGTCAACGCGTGGTGGATATGAGTGTATAGCCCGTTGATGAGGTCCTCATGGATGCTGAAAATTCAAGAATCCGGGTGTTGAAGGATCTGCATGCATCTAACGAGGCGTGAAGGCTGTACGCTCGGTGGGTCTTCTGCCGGCCGGGAATCCACGGCGACCTTACCACGCGCCAAAATTTGAAGAATGTCCCCGTCATGCACACCTAGAAGCCGCCTCCTGCTTGCGACAAAGACCACACGCTCATTAACCACGAATCTTCTCACAGTTTCCGACACCGCTTTCCTATACCCTCGACAACGGAGAACACGGCCATCAGATCAAAAAAGTCGTTTCGACAGACGAACGTCCTCAGTCTCCCGATGAACACCGCGCAGTGATAGCGCCGAACCCCCAAACCTCATCCACCGTGGCGGGCACTCTGGCGAGCCTTCCGAGACCGCGGCTCTTCGCGCGGATACCCACGACACAGTCAATATGGAGGACAGGTAGCACATGTACTGGCCGGGGAGCTATCAGATGCGTCTCAGTCGACTCGAACAAGCTCGGCCTCAGGCAGGGTGCGCCGCCGCATGGCATCGCCCTTGGGAGAGTGGCACCCAAGGAGATGGCGGCGACGGTTCCCGGCGCCCAAACGGTGGGCATACCAAGGGGGAAAAAAGAGGAGTTCGCCAAGGTGCTGGGATTGCAGCCGGAGCGGAACAAGAGGGAGCTGTACGCCATTTTCAACGCGGACAACCTATCACGGTTCTACGTGCCAGCGGTCATGATGGGCCATATTTCGCCGACGCCGCCATCTTCGCGGACTGTACATATTCTGGGTCGGGATGAGCGGTCATTGTTCTTGTCGCACGCTCTGCACGATATCTACGACTCGGTGAAACTCGTTAACTTGCCGACGAACACGGCCTATCCGAACATTACCGGAAACATGGGAGTAAAACAGAACGCCGGAGGTTGGAGTGAGCGAAACGCCTCTATCGATCAGGCTAGGGAACCGGAACAAGAAGATGGGCACATCAGCAATCTGGTGGTTGCCGGTAGGCCAAGTGAGGCCGTCAAACTACTCGAGCGGGTGAAACACCGGGTGGATGACCGGACGGCTGTCTGCCTTGTTCAGGATGGACTTGGAATCGCCCAGGCCGTCAACAACAGAGTCTTTCTAGATGAGGAAAAGCGTCCGTCAATCGTGCTTGGACACATCGGTCATCCCCTGACGTACAATCGCAAAACCAATTCGGTCAGGGTGATGAGCCCCGAGTACGAATCCGTCTTGACGGGCTTACCGCCATTGGTGAGCAAGAACAAGAAGAGTCGCTGGGCAGATCCTCGGTTGCGGATGCAGGGCATGCTGCATAAGTTTGAGGCATCGGACGTGTTGAAGGCCAAGCGTGTGAGGCTCGGCAATTGGCTGAATCTCAAAATCACGTCGCTCATGTTTTCGGCCGTCGTGGACCCGATCTGCGTCATGCTGGACTACCGCTACGAGCAGCTCATTTACAACCCGACGGCAAACCAGCTCATCACGCAGCTGCTTGGCGAGATTGCCGATGTTGTGGCGCGTATGGACGAGGTCAAGCACTCGTCGGAGCTGCAGGCCCTTCTCCGGGGTGAGGGCATGCGCAAGGAGATCATGGGGAAGCTCAGGGGCAAGGGAAATGCGCCAAGCGAGATGGTGCTACAGATTCAACGCGGCATGCTGACGGACATAGACTATATCAACGGGTTCTTCATCAAGAGGGGAAGCCAGCTGGGGTTGAAGCTGCCTGCTAACGAACTGGTCGTGCGCATGGTGAAGGCGAAGCACAAGGCGCAGCTGGAGAAGAATAGGGGATACATCCCATTGGAAGTGACCTCAAGGAGATGAGTTAGAGACATTGCCATAGACGGCGGCTGTCAATCTGGGTTTTATGTATATTTAATGGCGGTCTAGCATTTGTATGACTACAGTGAACAAGAAAAATTGTTCACAATGCACCAAATTCTCCATGATTTGTAAGACCTTCGCTATGCAGCGAATGAACCTTTAGTCAGGTCGGTTGAGTTGCGATAGTCAGGCCATTCCAGGGTACCTAAATTGCTCCACGTCCGCCGTCGAGTAATTTTCGAGCTGGTAGACAGAACCACCCCCAGAGGTCCGACCCCGCCAAAAAGTTGGACGTCAGGCAGAGAGCAAGGCGACCACCCCGCGTTTCCATTTCGACCAAACACCAACACCGCGCAAACCCGCACCCTTATACCCACCCGCAAACATGGACGATTCCGAACTCGAACAGGTGAGTGGCTCGGTTTCGGTCCAGGAAACGTGAGCGAAATCAGGACTGGACTGACAGCGCGCGGCATGCAGATCCGCAAGGCCCGCCTCGAGCAGCTCAAGGCGCAGGGCGGGGCAGGAGGCGGCTCCTCCGGCGGCGGCTCAAACAAGCAACAGCAGCACGAACAAAGACAGTAGGCTCTTCCCTGTCTTTTCAAAATCCTCGTCTGAGCCAGTCCCCTGGTGTAACAAGCGCCAGAGACCACCTCATCGACTGGACCTCATCTCTTGGGAACGAAACGCAGCTGACCACGCGCGACACAGACAGCAAGAGCAGGAAGCCCGACAGCAGATCCTCAACCAGATCCTGCACCCCGAGGCAGCGGACCGCCTGGGCCGCATCAGGCTCGTCAAGGAGCAGCGCGCACAGGAGGTCGAGAACCGGCTGATTATGCTTGCGCAGAGCGGCCAGCTGCGCAGCAAGGTCACAGAGGCCCAGCTCAAGGATCTCCTCTCCGCCGTCGCCGACAACAAGGAGGAGGAGAAGATCGTCGTCAGCAGGCGGAAGGGCTGGGATGATGACGATGACGACTTGCTGGACTTGTAAGGGGCTGATGTTCGTCGTCGGGGCGACACAATATTGGGCGGTATGATGGAAAGGGTCTCATCAAGCATGCGTGTTCACCCCCAATGTGGGCGAGCTCCTTGCGGACCGATACGACCGAGAACGGCCGCGAACAAGACCATGTTCACGGGAGTAGATGGTGTGCCGGCGTTGGAGGGCGTTCTGAGCATGCTGCGAAACAGCAGGTTGGTTTCCGTCCGAGTGGGATTTCCATAGGACACTACAAGAAACAAAGATACTATATCTAACATACATTACATGTACAAATTTTCTCTGGCGCTCAGCCTACATCCCCTTCATAGCATCCTGCGCCCTCATCCTCTCTTCTCTCTCCCTCTTCCGGATGGCACGCATGTTGGGCGGCCTCTCGATGCCCAGCTCGGTCCTCAGCTCGTCCACGTCTCTCTCCAGCTGCTCCTCCCAGTAGACATTAATCACCTCCTTAGCCTTCATACCATTTTTGATCGCCCAGGGGCCGTAGATGTCGCGGAACCTCTTCCTCTCGCCCTTCTTCATCGTCGCGTAGCTCAGTACTGCGAACCCCGTCATCGGGATCAGTGTGTTGGCGAACTCGAACGCCTTGAGGGCCACCTCGCCCTCCCGCACGATCGGCAGGCCCGTGAGCGCGTGGTAGAAGTCGTGGCACTCGCGGTACCGCTGCATGACGTACGCGCACTCCGGGTCGTCAATGTATCGCACGGCGGGCCGCGTGTCCGGGCTTACGCCCTCGGCGTCGAGCCAGCCGACGTAGGCCCGCCCGACGCTGTTCTCTGGCATCCGGCGCAGGCGGTCGAGGTCGAGGGAGGTGGACGTTATGCGCGGCCGGTCGCGGAGGATGCGGCGGCCGGTCGGGTCCGCGAGCATGGCGTCGCGCAGGCGATAGATAAAGTACGGCGTCGAGGTCGTCTCACCGACGGCGGCGATAAGGTCGGCGCGGTAGGGGCTCAGGAGGGACCAGATGCCCGCGCCGAGGGCGAGGCCGGCGCGCTCGATCTTGGTAAGGGGTACATGGCCGGGGTAGTTGGGCGGCGGGCGGTTGAGGACGGAGAACGGACGGGCGGCCGTTAGAGAGGAGGATGTGGTCAAGGAGCAGGCGGCGCAGATGGCGGGCAGGGCGCGGCGGGCTGGTGCCCTGGGGAGAGCTCGAAGGGCCTTCATACTAGAGTGATTTCCGGTGTTTGTGGCCGCCGTTCACATGTCGTTTGGAAGGCTTCGTGAAGTTCAATTGAGGAAAAAGAAGCTTCTCAGAAGCTTTGCGGAGGAGCTATGAGCTATGAACCCACATCGGATGCTGGTGGTTCGATGATCGGAACACTTCTAATGGCCCGGGGGGTCGGTTCGATTACCTCACCTCGGTGGCCACCCGAGAATTTAGAAGGGGATGTCGGGACATCGGTGGACACTAGCGCCGATCTCTGGACGCTGAGCTGTAGTTTGACAGTGCCAGGATTGCATGTCGCAGCGTTTCTGATTCGTCACTCAGGGTTTTGACGGCTCCCTCGTCTCAACTCGAGTCCTTTTGATTCCTCGAGTCTTTACAACAACCTCCTGTCAGTCTAAATTGGTTGGGTTTGAACTTATTTATTCGAAACTTTGCAGACTCATTCAAAGTACTGATGCTCCGTCATGTATCTTCATAACCCTTCATAACACAGACTCGCCCTTTTCACGCGTGCGACTGACTGGATCCTCTCGCTCAAATTCGCTGAGAGTGAGTATAAGGGTTTAGACTTGAGATCCCTTTGACTCGTCGTCTCTCTTTAACACTCCTTCGTGTAAGATTGAAGCAACAACGTGTGTCGCGACTGGAGCAGCTCTCGATTATACTTGTTTGCAACTACTCAAACACACTTTACCATATCATTTGAGATACCCAACACCAGACTCACATTTATCCTTTAAATCCACAATGGAGGCCATTGAAAACCTTCTCTCATGGGCCGAAACCCAAGGCGTAACTGTGTCTAAAGTCGGCCCCCGCACTATCTCAGGACGAGGCATAGGCATCGTCGCAACTTCTCCTATAAAAGTATGCCTCTCAAGTTTCCTCTCTCCAACCCTCACCCCCCTTGCACACCTCTCCCATACCAGCAACTAACACCCCCCAGAAAGACGACACAATCATCGACGTGCCCATCCCCTGCCTGAAATCCCTCTCAACCATCCCAAAGGCCCTGACCCGTCCCTTCCCCAAAGACACCGCCGTCCACGCCCTCCTCGCCCTTGACATCGCCCTCGACGGTTCCCCCTCCTTCAAAGCCTGGTCTGCCGTCTTCCCCACGCCCCAAGACCTCTCCTCCTGCCCTCTGACCTGGCCCGAGTCTCTGACATCCCTCCTCCCGCCCGCGGCGTCCTCCCTCCTCGCCGCCCAGCGCGAAAAGTTCGAGGCCCACTGGGCCCTGGTGGCCACCTCGTTCCCGGACGTCACATACGAGGGCTACCGCCACGCCTGGCTCCTCGTCAACTCGCGCACGTTCTACCACGTCACCCCCAAGACCGCCAAGCGCCCCCGCGACGACCACATGATCCTCCAGCCCGTCGCCGACCTCCTCAACCACGCCTCGCGCGGCTGCTCCGTCGCCTTCGACGACCGCTCCTTCACCATCAAGGCCGAGAGGGACTACGCCCCCGGGGAGGAGATGCACATCTGCTACGGCCGCCACAGCAACGACTTCCTCCTGGTCGAGTACGGCTTCGTCATGGCGCAGGGCGAGAACGAGTGGGATGAGGCGTGCCTCGATGACGCCATCCTCCCGCGGTTGGACGCCGCCTGCAGACGGCGGCTCGAGGAGAGGGGGTTCCTGGGGAAGTACATGCTCGACGCCGAGACAGTGTGCTACCGGACGCAGGTGGCGCTGCGGACGCTGGTGATGGCCCCAAGACGGTGGGCGCAGTTCGTTGACGGATTCACGGACGGGGAGGCAGAGCAGCCCGAGGTCGACAAGATGCTGCGTGAGATCCTCGCCGAGTACGACGGGGAGATCCAGTCCAGGATCCAGGCGGTGGGTGCGCTAAACGAAGGAGAGAAGTTTCAGAAGCAGATGGTCGTGACCCGCTGGAAACAGATACAGGAGCTGGTGGGAGCGACATTGCAGAAAACTCGACACCTGAAATGAAAGACAGTCAACCATCGTCTGAAGTGACATGAAGTAACACACCGTAACAGTCGATTGTGCTCTTGACCTCTGGAATATAACGCCGACATCAAGCTGCATGAGTACCGTTCCCGTGCAGCTAAATTCTAATAGTACACATGAAGAAGTAACCAGTAACACGAGTGAGTAGGTGCAGATCGCAAGGCCTCTTTCTGTCCAGCTGCTGCAGCCTAGGTTCCAGTTTAGGTTAATAGGCCCATTCCATCATCCCCAAACACCCATTGCCCTTTTGTTTTCCCAGAATGTCACCTTCCGCTATAAAAAGAAGAGACAGCAACACTGGCATAAGTCGGACCTTGCCTGAACCCCCACATGTTGGCCGGCGGGAAGGTCCTCCTTGCAATGCGTGAGAACCTGTCATAAGAACAGCGGGGGCAACTCTATTGTCCTCAGCTAGAGATTCTGTTTCCCGAGTCCTCCCTCCGTCGGGGGTCGCGCGAAACCTCTAGGCCTGGAGTTCTACTCGGGTCGAGGTCGCTTTGCTCCGTGAGGGTTGCCCCAGTCGTTTCCTCCACCTTGGTTGCCACCAAAGAACCCTGGGTTGAACTGCTGTGGCATGCCTTGGAATCCTAAATAACAGTCAGCATGCGTGACCTCCGGAGGCAAAACGAATGAGTTGCAAACAGAACAGAAATCGGTCAGGGGGTTTAGTCAAAGCGTAGAACTGGACGAGGATATGTCCTCGAGCCTGTGGCTGGAGTAGCAGGGAGCGAAAGTGAAGTGGCTCCTGTGGTGAACTCCAAACCACGCTCCTTGGTCCATCGGCCCGCCCCCGGTACAGACTGAGTTTGTGCTGCGACAGGCCGCGGCTGAACTCTCTGGCGTTTGTGCTGCGACGGGGAAAGTGCTTGGTCAGGCTTGACAACTTTGTCCACGCGCCGGCCATAGTACTTCCGCTTCTGGAATGGGCCATTGGCGACTTGAGGTGTGGAGGGGTAGTGACATTTCTGAGAGGGATCAAGAGAAGGGCAAGTCGTACCGGGCATTCCACCACCCATCATACCCATGTTGGGCATGCCTCCCATCGGCATACCGCCCATCGGGCCCATACCCATGCCGCCCATGGGGTTATGCATTCCGCCTCGTCCACCACGCATTCCGGGGCCGCCACGCATACCTCCACCAAAACCACCACCTCGCTGGAAACCGCCGCCGAAGTTGCCACCACCCATACCGTTGTTGAAGCCACCGCCCATGTTGTTGTTGTTGAAGCCGCCTCCCATGCCGCCCACGAAGTTGCGGTTGAACCCGCCCTGGTTCATGCCTCCACGAGGGCCGTTGAAACCACCACGACCACGGTAGCTGTTACCACGGAAGTCGCCGCCCATAGAGGAGCCTTGGTTGTTGTAGTTACTTGCAGGCCTGCTGCTGCCGCCCTGATCCTTGCCTGCTCGGTTCGGCGCATCCTTAGGCAGCGTACGGAACGGGTTGACGTGAGGGTTGGAGTAGGTGACCTGGTGCTTCTTAGGAACGCCTTGTCCGCCGTCTGTCGCCTCGAGGGCGTGCTTCGCGGCCGTCGCTGCTTGCTGCGTTGTGAACTCGACATATGCTTGGCTGAACACTCAGTTAGCCGCCAGAAGTCTGATTTTGTGTCATGAACCATACCCCTTGCTCTTTCCGTTGACCTTGTGTTCACTAAATGTTATATCCTTCAACTCGTCTTCGCAATGAGCCGCTCTGGCATAGCCCCTTATGTCATCATCGGTGTTCCACCAGTTAAGGTCCGAGATCATTAGGGCTGTTGTCGCACCAGGATCGACAGGTCTGTCATCACCCTTCCTCTTCACACCTTGTTGCGGAGCAGGCGCATCCTGATGGTCGTTGTACTCTTCCTGCTGGTTCTGCTGGTCATCGTGTTGTTCGTGGTGCTCGTGGCGTTCGTTATGGTCGTCGGCGTGTCCGTTGGCCTGCTGTCCATCGTAATTCTCGGCGTTGGCGTCCTGGTGATCTTGGGGCGCGTCACCGTAGATGTCGATCTCAAATTCCTCCTCGGCCATGTTGACAGCACTATCTGGTAGCCGTGAGTTGGAGCAGTGCGCCTGGTTGTGGTTGCAATAAGGTTGTTATTAGTCTGCGAGATACAGGAACCGTCTGCAGCCTTGGAAACAGGATCATCAGCCGCTGCCATATACAGGGTCATAGCCAAATCTCGAGCCAATAAATCGAGCAAAGGATAGAAACAGAGAACATCTGATACGTACACTCCTCGTTCCGCAGACAAGATGGAAGAGGTTGGATGGAATACCCAAGCCAATGTGATCCTCTCCTTCAGCCAAATAAAACCGAAGACGAAGCTCTGTGCTTCAGCCTTCCCCTATGGGCGATATGACGGTTTTTCTTCTTCTTTTTTCGGCCCAGAAGCCTTAGGTACAGGCAAAAAAGATGTAGTTGGGACGAGGAAGAGTAGAAACAGGATCCCTAGACTCCAGAGACCGTTTGCTCGTTCTGCCACCGCCTATTTCCACGCGCGTCTGCCCGCTCACTGCGTGGCCGATGCTGTCAGCTTCGGCAAGTTAGTGATCCAGACCTAATTAAGGTTTCTCGGCAAGGAGGTCAGAAGTGACGGCGCGTTGCTACGCTGGCAATTGGTAAAGTAATGCGTGAAAGCGGAAGACCAACGCGTCGGGCGAGTTGACTCAAGCTGTGGTGAAGTCGGATAGAAAACGGACAGCTCGGAGGGATGTTGACGCGATGGAAGAAATGCGGTCGGGGAGGACGTGTGGAGGAACGTTTGGAAAGAGTAAGAAAACTGGGGGAAGCTCCTGAGTGAACAAGCTGAGGCCGCATGCTGAGACTGGGCAAGGGCCAGTGGATGCCTGAGTGGATCCTCCAACTGCGCATCTGAAGGTACGTACTGAACCTCCCTGTCGTGCATTCGAATGCGCTGAATCACGGTTGGCCCATTGGCCGAGGCCAGGCCTTCGGCCTGCTAGCGTGAGAACCTAGGGGCCCTCCTCCACTGGAGGGACGCTGAGCCTCCTATCTTATCCGGAACCTTAGATACATACTCCGTACCTATATCTTGGTACCACACCTAGGTAGGTACCTATGCACTATGTGGCGTGCGCGTCGGCAGCCGGCGCATCGTTCCTCCATCGCCTCCTGAATGGCAATCTGGCTCTTCCCGCCGTAGCGGGAGCTTGACCCGAAATTTTGGGGTCCATCTGGCGGCAGCGCGCTCAATTTAACACATCTCCCTTCAACCCATCGATTTCTCGATACTTCCACCCGCCCTCCCTGCACGTCTTAAACACCCCGTCGTTGCGCCTTTCTTTTATCGACTTTGCGATTTACTGTTCCACTGCGGCCCATCGGGATTCCATTTGCGACCTTCATTCAACCACACACACATACCTTCCCTTCCCAATACCCACGCGCTTCTATCCACAATGGCCGACCAAATCAAGGAGATCCTCGAGGTTCCCTCCGAGTTCGCCCAGGAAGGTGTTCAGTTTATGAGACGGTGCACCAAGCGTATGTGTAGCTCCTTGTCGCTGTTGAGAAGCCTCTCAGTTGCTAACGTGTCATTTAGCCGACAAGCTTGAGTTCCTGAAGCTCTGCCAGGCCGTCGGTGTCGGTTTCCTCATCATGGGCGCTGTCGGCTACATCGTCAAGCTGATCCACATCCCCGTCAACAACATCCTCGTCGGAGGCGCATAAACGCATAGGTGTCATATTTAACGGAAGTACCCGAGTCCACAGGCCGACTTCTTACGCTCTATTACGTCGGCGCGGCCGACCAAGATGATGATTTTACACGCAAGGATGGGTCTCGAAAAGCATTGCATGGGCAGATTGCAACATCATGATAGCCAGATGTGAGGGACGTCGCGCAGGAACGGTGGGAGATACCCCGGGACCAGTGGCTTCATCGATCATGTACCATTGCCAAAAGAGGAGTTGACGCGCATGGAATATGTACAAATAATAAAAAATAATCATCCCACGTCGCTCTCCCTAGGCGAACCCGCCCGCCAGAACGCCTACATCTGGAATGCCGAGCCGACCGGGCGCAGTTTCTCGTCGACGCTTCGGCCCATCGGAGGGTCTGCCTCGTCTTCTTCAGCCTCGTTGTACGAGTGAAGCGTGCAAGTGCCGTGAGCCATGTTGAAGCCGTTCCAAGCGGATGCTGGGCAGTGTTAGTAATATTGGCAAGTCGCGAGCATAACACCGACTTACCAACCAGAACCGGTGCATTAGGATGCCAGCTGACGTCTCGCACACAGGTGTCCCATCCTGGAAAGTCATCGCCGTGGTAGATGCGATATCTCCGCTCCAGGGGCCTGGAGTTTTTGGTGGCCTGTCTCACATCAATGGTGCCAGCCAAGGTGGCATCCAAATTCCAGATGTAAACCTTGCCATCTTGGCTACCGGAGTACACATATCTCGAATTCGTACTGGAGGGAGGAGAAAAGTGACAACGGATCAGTGTGCGCATTACGCGGTGTCCACGGAAGGTGACGACGGAATTGTCGTTGGGATGGGGGAACCAGTCTACATCTCTGAAAGTTCCCCATCGATAATCGAAGTTACTGTGGGCGGTCAACCTTGTGGGGTTGGCTTCGTCGAACTCGGCCGTGGACATGACCATCCTGAGATCCCACAGCTTCATGGTCTGGTCTTTTCCGTTGCTAAGGATGTAGCGGCCGTCGCCTTTGCTATCGATGTAAGTCAAGCCTTCGACATGGCCCACAAAAGCACCCGCTGGCCGCCCATCTCCCATGCTGCGTCGGTCCCACACCTTGATAGTGGCATCATCCGATCCGGAGTAGAGAATATGTGGCGACGATTTGTCTGCGAAACACACGGCATTCACATCGTCCTCGTGGCCGACGACGTTGTGCAGAACGGTGCGCGACTCAATGTCGTAGACGACAATCGACTGCGTGTTAGTGCCAGCCACAAGCTCCCGACCGTCGCCGGAGAACCGGACAGACCAGATTCCGAATGAATGGCTCCGCCTGCCGTGTCGTGTTCCCACACTCCGCTCCGCGAGGTCCAGCGTATATGGGTCTCCTGTGTCGTTGGGATCCGTGGGCGCTAGACAGACGTTGCTTTGGATGGACGTGTAAGCAAGCCAGCGGTTGTCGGGGCTCAACGATGCGTCTGTCAACGTCCATTGCCCCCAGGGGTAATTGACCGTTTTATAGTATCTCCAGTTGTACGGATTTGACGTGTCGTACATCCGAACCTTAAAATCGTGACCGCATGCGTAGAAGAAGTTGCCATCGTCGGAAAACTGGCCAGAGTAGACAGGGTCATCGTAGTGCACGATCATCTCGGGGTTGGTTGACGGTATCATGCCCTGGGCCATCAGGTCTTGGTTTTGCTTTTGGTCGCGTCTGTCACCCAAGCCAAGTTCGCGATCCAGTATCCTTCGTGCCAACTGCTTCTTGCTGGCGTGTTGTTCATTTGCCCCAAATACACCAGAGTACATCAGTTTCGTGCCCTCGTCGCTTGGTACCTTGGGAAACCGACTGGGCTCTCCAGAATGACTGGACTCTCCAGAATGACCTCGCCTCCGTCTTCCTCCCCATCCCATATCTTCATCGTCATCGAAGTCGTCGAGTGTGCTGTGTAGGATCACCTCACCGCCGCCCTGCATGAGGCCTAATACTTGTGTTCCTCTAATGAGCCTCGTGCCAACGCCTCCAGCGCTAGCTACATCTGGGGTTAGCAATGAACTCGTATTAATGGGGTATATGGTGATCGAACACACCGACCAGGGTCAAGATACTCGAAATCGTATTGTCTGCCCATGAGGCGTCGTCTTCGCCACTATCATCTTCGTCGCCAGCGCCCATGAACACTTCAATCTCAACATCACGTTCGCCACCGTCATCGGCATCTGGGATCGGTAAGCCATACCGCTCTTTCGGTATCACTATTTGTAGGTAGTACCATGGTATTCCTCATCGTCCTCCTCATCATCTTCGTCTGGTTCGTCTTGGAAGTCGGAATCATAATCCTCTTCATCGACATCCTCGGCATCTTGCTCAAAGTGATGTGTCCAAGTCGCAGCGCCGTCATCTTCATCGGCACCTGTACTCGCATACGGAGACCTCGAGTTTTCCTCAGTATTGTCCATTTTGACTTGACTTGGTGTTCGCACGGAAAGTTCGGGTTGATTGCTTAGTGATACAATGGAGCTCGGATATATGACTGCCGACGTGTGATGAAAGCTGTGCACAGCAACGTCGGCTGCAGCCTGACAGCTGCTGGATTGTTTTCAAGTAAACTTAAACTGAGGTTTGTATTCACAATGGGTTGAAAGAGCAGCAGTTATGGCCAAGAGGAGTGCTCCGATTATGTTTCATGAAGAAGGCGATCGTTCGTGACGACATGCATTTAGTCCCGGGACATCAGGTGGGGTGTCGCTGGACCGGTTCGGCGGAGATAAGATAACGTAGCTGCTGCAAGCTCCGGGAAACAGTGGGCGGCGCCCGCTGAAACTCTCACTGAGTGAGCGCGGTACGTACCCATATTTGCGATGATCAACGAACCGTTTGGGCCAAACAGATGTGGTTTACATAGGCAAATCCGGGGTTCACTTGGATACAACATTGTCAACGGAAAAGCGTCGCAGCCTACCTTGCATAGAGTTGCAGAACGGATAGTGAAAGTGCTGCAGACAAATCGCAAACGATGGCCGTCCTCTCGGCCCATGTCTGAAGTGATCCCAACATTCCCAAGATACCGTGTAATTGGTGTTTCAGACGTCTAATCGTGTATCCGAGTCAAGAGTGTCCTCTATGAAGATACCCCCTACAAGGCCTGTCTCTAAGCGGAAACGACCAGGGTCATCTAAAACTGGACCTGTGAAATCGCCTCTTGTGTGGGGGGGGGAATCAAGGGATTCTGGAACATGGGGCCACCGCGGCGCGCGTCCTTCTTATTGCTTACCCCGTGGCCTTGCAGCAAAAGATACGTAACAAATTTAGAGCCCGGCCGTGGCTAGAAACCACCGACACCATTTTCTCTTCCCCCCTTGCAAGAACAGAACAAATTCGGGCATTTCACACTTTCACTCACAGCCTACTATCATTGATTGCCCCAGACACTGAGGCACGATAGCCCCATCGAGTCACCATGAGGTTGCGCACCCGACACTCCCCTCTGCTCCTGCTCCTCATCCCGTCCCTTGTCGCAGGTTTAGCCGTTGAAACCAAGGACAAGAATGGCGCCAAGGCCGTAGCTTCTACCGACAAGTCCACCGATTCGACCGCTGGCTCTGGCGTCAAGACCAGATTCGGAACCGACCATGCTCCTGTCGATGGGAAGGACGGCATGCCCCACGAGGGTCCCTTCGTCGACCAGGACAGAGACAGCAAAAAGGATGTCGCGGATACGGATAGCAAAAAGGGCTTGCCCCCCTTGAAGGGACGCCCGTCAGACCCTACCGTTGTTGATGGCAAGAAGATCCCCGAGACCAACGATGGTGTCATGAACGACAAGACACGTCAGAAGCCCAAGGAGGGCACCAGAGGCACCGAGGGAGGTGTCAGTGAGAAGGACAAGGCGCGCAAAGCGGCCGAGGGCAAAATTGGCGAAAAGCCCAATAACAAGCCCGAGGCGCCCAAGGAGCAGCCTCCTCTGCCTCACAGCGAGCAGGAGAAGATCCTGAGCGACAAGGAAGCCACCAAGGACAAGGAGCGCGACCGCGACCACCGCACTGCTGACGACGTTGCGGGTCTCGAGGTTGGTTGCACGAACGCCTGACTGATAGCTCCGGACGCGGAATGCTAATGATTCTCAGAAACCTGCAGGTCTCCCCCACAAGCTCGACGACAAGCCCCAACCTCTCCCCAACTCGGCGCACAAGGACCACCTGGATGTCTCCAAGTCCAAGGGGAAGTCATCCAACAGCCTAGACGATGAGGCCGAGGGCGTCATCCAGCCATTCCACTCCTTCGTTCTGTCTTTGACCATGATCCTTGTATCCGAGGTCGGCGACAAGACGTTCCTCGTTGCTGCACTCATGGCGATGAAGCACGACCGGATGGTCGTCTTCTCTGCTGCCTTTGGCGCCCTCTTGGTCATGACCGTTCTATCTGCTTGTCTCGGTCACGCGGTGCCTACGTTGATTCCCAAGCGCGTAACCAGTTTCCTTGCTGCCGGCCTGTTCTTTGTGTTCGGCACGAAACTGCTTCGTGAGGGTCTGGGCATGGACCCCAACGAGGGTGTCACTGCTGAGCTGCACGAAGTCGAGCGAGAGTTGGCTGAGAAGGAGAAGGAGGGCAAGCGTCACGGTTCTGCGGTTTCTCCCTACGCCTTGGAGATGGGCCTGAACGGCAACAGGAAGTCTAGGTCTAAGAGCCGTTTCCCGTCGCCCCCGCGCTCGCCTTCTCAATCCCCGCCCCGCAGTCCTTCGCCTAGTTCGGGTGGCATTAAGGGCTCCCTACAGGGTCTGAGCAACCTTCTCGGCCTCCTCCTCAGCCCTGCGTGGGTCCAAACGTTCGTCATGACCTTCCTCGGCGAATGGGGTGATCGGAGTCAGATTGCCACGATCGCTATGGCTGCTGGACAGGACTACTGGTGGGTTATCTTGGGTGCCATGGTTGGCCACTGCATCTGCACCGGTGCCGCCGTCATTGGCGGCCGTGCCATCGCAGGCCGTGTCAGTCTTAAAGTCGGTAAGTCAGCTCTGCGTCTCTGCTTCAGGATCATCACTAACTGTTTGCAGTCACTGTCGGTGGTGCCGTCGCGTTCCTCGTGTTCGGCTTCATCTACTTCTTTGAGGCATTCTACGCATGATGGAGAAATCCAATTCTCTAGATGTCCATTACCAACAAGATACATATTTGTATAGAAAACGCCTTCGTCGCTGTCTCGGCACGCGGCGCACGGAGCACGACACGTTCCATATCTACCTACTAATCAGAGGCCTTTTGCTCTTTCCTTTCGGTACGAAGGGGGATGACCACGCGGCTGGACGATCCTACACGAGGCGGCGGCCTACTTTCTCATTGTCTAAGCATACCTATGGAACAAACGGTCAAAGAGAGAAGGGGGATCTCTTTAGAAAACAGACAGCGAAGCGCTTGGTTGCAACGATGAGTAAAAAAAAAGAATCAGAACGCGGTGTCCAGTTGTGTATAATAAGAAAGGCTGTGGATACAGGGCATGGACTGTGATGGGGCGGAGTTCAATGGGATGTACGAAACAGCCTCTGGATTTGATTTATACTTGTGAAGCATTGTTTTTCTGCGTCATATCTGTTTCTTCAAATTGTGTTGCCTCAACGTGGTCTGCTTGTATGTTCATGTATGATCTCACGACTGCAGACCATTCGTACTGCTCCCCACCCGTTCCCCCCAAGGAGGGTCGGCGTGGAAACACGTTTTTTGGTTAATTAGTGGCGGGGGGTGTGACCTCCGCGGCGGGAAACCCGTCGTCCTTTTGTTGGCCGACGAGGAAAACAGCTGTTGGACACCGTCAGAACTCGCTTGCCTCGTCAACACGGGTGGCATCCAGTGCCCAGTGTCGCGCTTCAGCCCTCTATCACGACGAAAGATGCGGGTCCGGCCTGTACTCGATCGCGGCATTATGTATATTCTATCAATCTCATCCATCTGGTATGAGGAACTCTACACATACAACCCAACCACATCGTGCCCCCGGGTGTTTCAAAAACTAGAAGGAAGCCGTCCGGAGATAGCAAGACGCGGACGGCTTGCCGTTCCTCCAGCTTTGATACGGTGGCGACTTTTCTCATATCTCAGCAATCCTGACCGCCTTCTCCGCCTTCTCCGCCTTCTCCCTCTTCTCCTTCCGCTCGCTGAACCTGTCTCCGAATAGGTCGAGGTGCGGCCGCATCACCACGGTGTACTTGACCAGCTCCTCCATGCAGTCGACCAGCCTGTCCCTGTTGGAGCTCGGCAGCATCCTGGACCCCCCGCCGTCGTCCTCGGGCGTGAACTGCGTGTACGCCATCGGCACGGAGCTCTGGTTCGGCACGACGAACATGCGCATCCACCGGCCCAAGAGCCGCAGCGTGTTGACGGCGTTGAAGCTCTGCGACCCGCCCGACACCTGCGCCACGCAGAGCGTGCGGCCCTGCGTCGGCCGCACGGAGCCCTGCGACAGCGGGATCCAGTCGATCTGGGTCTTGAACAGGCCCGTGACGGCGCCGTGCTGCTCGGCGCTGACCCAGAAGTGCCCGTCGCTCCACCGGCTCAGGTCGCGGAGCTCCTGGACCTTGGGGTGCCCGTGGCTGACGTCGTCCTTGAGCGGCAGGCCGACCGGGTCGAAGACGCGCACGTCGCAGCCCAGCCGGTGGAGCACCCGGGCGCCCTCGAGGGCGAGGAGCCGGCTGTAGGACCGGGCGCGGAGGCTGCCGTAGAGGACGAGGATGCGGAGGCGCGGCAGGCCGCGGGAGAGGACCTCGCGGTCGACGAGGGCGAGGGCCGTCGAGAGCTCCAGGCCCGCGACCCAGTCGTCCTCGGCCGCGGCGGGGGGCAGGAGGAAGGGGCGGTAGCGGGCGCGGATCTCGGCGTTGTCGTCCTCGGCCGCGAGGGCGTGGGAGCGGCCGATGTACGCCTCGTCGGGGCGGATTTCCACGGCGGGCCGGGCGGCGTGGACGTTGTTGACGTCCCCGTGTCCGTCCATACTGACAGAAAACACTGGCTTTCCTGGCCTTACAGCGTGTGCTGAGCGGGAGTTGGGAATCTTCCAGCCGTGACGGTTGGGATTGCGAGAGGGAGAAGAGGTGGGAACAGAGAGTAGGATCAGGGGTAATGAGGAGGCCAGAGGACGACGACTCTGTACTTTGACCGAATAGAGAAGGCTGTGCATTTAAGGGCGCAGTTAGGTTTTCCCTTGGTATGAAGTCGTCGTCGTATATCTCCTGGCTTATAAAGGAATGAATCGCTGGCCCCGAGGAGTAGTGTAAAAGCCCCCAAGTGCTTGTGGGACCCAGCCAAGCCAGCCAATCAGAGACATGTGGTGACATATCGCCGTCGGAGGTCTTGGCAGAGAAGAGTCGACCGCTCGGCCACCCTTTTCGAGGGTTTCAAAGCTGGCTGGCTGGCTAGCTGACGGCCCAGGCACGAGAAGACTCCGTCTCCAACATATAAATCGGAGGATTACGAATGGACCTAGTTATGTCAAACCAGCGTTTTTCTTATCAGGTGCATCGAGGGAACTCAGCATCATCTCTCCCCGTAGCATCCCGCCGCCTTTGACGGATCCAAGAATTATGTTTCCTTCATACGTGGGCAGATGCTTAGTTATAACGGTGATATATCTGACACCGTGGGGAAGGACAAATGTAAACGAATGGGCACTCAGCGGTCATCGATGTTCCCAACGTCTTCGAAATCGACGCCTACTGATTTGAGACCCAGTCCATCAATAAAACCCATAGGGGAGGATACCCATATCACATTCACAGACAGCGCCAAAGCTGGGTCATACATCTCGTCCAGTCCTGGTCGCCAGCAGTTCTGTGTGGTGCTCAAGATGGGTCACATCTTTTTGATGATGCAAATAAGATACCAATAAATCGTCCACAACCAAGTCGGCATGTTATCCATCTCGTAGCGGGACTCGACTTTTCCGCCAAAGGGCAAACGCCACGCTCGGTCGACTCATACCTCTTCTTTGCCAAAGTACCTGTGTGCTTAGGATACCTTGGAAACTCCCAGAGGGTCTGGCGACGACGGCAACCCAGCCTGTAGTTGAGGGAGGAGTGAGTTATTTATCGCATACGCGACCACCCAGCCACACGTGTCACATTTGAGCGGCGCACTGGAATCATATATATGTGGCAGATGAAAGGTCATCAGCACGCGTGTTAGATATGTTGTTGACGTAAAGAAAGAACACGTGCTTCAATGATACAGTCATTCGACCTCCCTCCCCTCTCCAGCATCCTTATCTTTCCAAAGTCAGCCAACGCCGGCTTTTGTTACCCCGTCTCTTGTCATCCTGGTATCAAAGCATAAAATAAAATAAAGGGCTTTCTCTCACTGCCCCCTTCCCCATGAGTCTATCATAGCACGCCTCCCATTCTGGACCAGTAATGGTATCTATATATAAAAAAATGTAATCCTCCCCCCTCTTCCAACGAAATGCAATGACTAATGAAAAATTGTGTGCAATGTGTGTATACCCTATTCTCCCCAAACTTTTTTACTGAATTTTGATAGCCTCGAACAGTGTAAGGCTAAGAGCCGTATCATTTTCTCCAACATTGGGAGTTGGCTCGCTGAGCATCTCCCACTTGCGGTAGACGAAGGGCGTGAGCTTACCGGTGCCTTGCATCGAGATTGGGATTTTCTGTCTCGGCGGCCCGATTTGTTGTGTTGCCGGCTGCTGTCGATGCGCGAGCACGAACTGCTCTATCTGTGGAGGCATGTGGCTGAAGAGGTACTGGAGGCGGGCGTCCGACGACGCTGGGTTTTGCATAGTGCCACCTGTGAGAAGAACACGCACGCACTGCAAGCGTGAGTCTTCCGGCAAGGTGTCGATCAGCAGCAGGGCCAGATCGAATACCTTCTGGCTCAAGATTCGGCCGGTCTGCGGGTCTTGGAGCGCCAAGGTGTCGAGCTCGAGGGTGAGACCAGACAAGATGATCAGGATTCTTGCCCGTATCTCAAACGCCGCGGCATTGACTGGAGGCTTCATATTGTTGGTGGCCTGGGCCTGAGCGGCAGCGGACACGGGTTCGTTGGCGGTTGTGTGGAGCGTGATGAATCTCAGCAATGCCGGTAGCCAGTACCGGAGTATCGACGTCCGGAGCTCCCTCTTGTCATCATCTCCGGCCGCCAGGATTTCCCAGAGCTCCGCCAACTTCTCGACCATGCCAGACGTGAGCTGGGAGGTCCGAACGGCCGGGCGGCCTCGAAGAATGGCCTCGACAACCGACAGTAAGCTCCCTGCTAACTGGGTGCTCTCAAGAGAAAGAGGATCCGAAACAGGAGGGTTCTTTTGCGACGGGAACAGGCCCAGAAATCGCAGATGGGCTTGCTTCTTGAGGTGTTCTGTAATCTCCTCGCTCAAATACGGCAACATGCTGGTCCACATGACGTTGTTGGCTGACACCGCGCGATCCATTGCCCGAGAGAACATGTCGAACTGCGTTAGGGCCTGCTCGCCACCTCCTGGGCTTGTCGTGCTGTCGGCGGAAAGGCCGATCGATAACTTGAGCTGGCAGAAGGGGAGAGTGAACTCGTTGGCTAGTTCCAGGACGGTTTCGAATGTGAGGGGCGATTCGTCGCTGGCGTCGGGCAACAGCAACTTAGAGGTGATCTGCGCAAACAAATTCGTTAATGCCGGCTCCGGCGTCTTGGTGCCCAGCGCCTGAACGACTGAGGGGGGATCCCGCAGCACCAGGAACTTGAGCAGTTCCAAAACGGAATTTGTGAAGCTCGGGTTCGTTAGGGGCAGCAGCGCTGGATCGACGGCGCCCTGAAGCCTCGAGTACTCGACTAGGGCGTTCCTGACGAGAAGAACCATGTCTTTGTGGTTTTGACGCGGCGCCACTTGTTGCTGGATGTAGAATCGGTATGTCTCTTCCGGGGTCAACGTAGTCTTGACCGTGAGAGGCATTGTCGTGAGGCGGAGAACCTCTTGCATGTAGGTCGTAGTACTGTTAGTTGGCCCGGATGGGTTGAGCGCAATCCTGCCCGTGTCGATCGATGTCGTGGTCAGAACAATGGGCAGGGTGAGGCACCCCATGCTGATTAATAGCGGATATATATCTACTAGGGCAGGACGGGCCTTCAGCGCGCTGATGTGGTGAACCCAGTCAGTCATACGCACGTCGAAATGTTGTGTGTCGAAAATCCGTAATCTTCCAAGGAGTGCACTGTAGGCACGCTGCCGGTCCGGCGAATTGGACCAGCTGGACTCCAAGCGGCCCACAACTGTCTGGAAAAGCCGATCCATCGTCGGCCGATCCACGCTCGTACCACCCGTCAGGAGCTTCTCGATCTCTTCATGCAGCTCGCCCTCTGCGTCCTGCAGTTGGGCCGTCATATTGTCAGATACCGGCGAACAGGCGTCGATGGGGTTGTTGCGATCGCACTGGTGGAGCTGCTGGCGGAGGTAACTGGCCGTGTTCGTAAACCCAGGTAACCGAACCGCAAGACTCGCAAGGGATGCCAGGAGGGGTCGTGCAGCAGGACCTTGTTCCTCACTGACGGCCTTTAGCCTTTCCATCAACAAGTCGAACATTTCTTTGGGCCCACCGAACGCGGCAAAGATCGGCAGATGCACATTGAGAGTGTCGGCGCAAGAGGCAAGAATTTCGGGGTTTGAAGCCCGCACTACTAGCTTGATGATCTCAGCAAGGGCGGAAAAGTCGGACGCTGCTTCAAGAACGGCCCGAGTAAAGTTGAACATGGCCGGGGAGACCTGCGGTCCGTTCTTGGTCATGACGATTTCGGTCGTGAAAATCTGGACAAGTCTGGCCCCAACCTCGGTTTGAAGGGCTCGGTTGCTGTTGGCAATCAGCCTACAAAGCTTACCCACAGGTACTGGCTTCCGTTGGAGCATCGGGTCTCCCGGCGGGAGAGGCAGTCCCAGGGCATGCTCGATGCATTTGAGAGCCGTGCTGATGTCCTCCGCCTCGTCATTGACATCGTAACTCGCACGCCGGAGAAGACTCGCTCTGGTCGTTCGGGAAGTCGAGTTCAGGGCGTGAAGGGGAAGATCCACCAGCAACCTCGTCGCGCAGGAGCCATCAGCTTCGGTGTCGGCCGGCTTCCGCAGGCCGCCTCTAGCAATGAGCCAGAAAATGTAACCCTGGAGTTGAAAATCGCCCGAGCGGACGATTTCCGACATGAGTCTGTGAAAGACTCGTTTCGAGTTCGTCTCCGTTGGCGGGTTGCTACTTAGATACTCGAGAACGGCCGTCGTCACGTCGACTCCGGCTGCCACCCATGCCCGGAGAAGGCTGGCTGTGATGTAGACCTTCGCGGCCCCTGGCCGATGCGGTGAGGTGCACCACTCTAGCAGTGTCCGAACAATCATGCCCTTGTCCTCGCTCACGGCCCAGCACTGGGCAGCCAGATCGGGGCTGTATAGGGTGGTGAAGGTGCTGTCGAGATGCTTGACAAGTATTTGGCGGTTGGCCGGCTGGGAGTTGCTAGCCGAAGCAACAAGCTGTTCGTTTCTGATATTGATCGATTTATATGCGGTCTGCGCGAACTCGTGGTCGGTCGGGATGGACGCAAGCAAGGCGTCCCTATACTTGAACCATGTTGCAGGAGACACAAAGTTGTCGGGATGCGCCGACAACAGGGGGGTAAGCAAGGTAGCTAACCTTGCCGAGAGCTGGGCGAGGATGTCGCGATCAGGGTCGGTGTGGATCTGGAATTGTAAGCCGGAGGGTACAAGGGGGGATGCAAAGAAAACGTACCGTATGAAGATGGCCGAGCAACGCATTCACTAATCGCCGGCCATATTTCCTCAACCGAAGCAGGTCCTTCCAGTAGATTTGCGTGATCAGTATCCACATGGGCAACTTGGACTGAGTCGAGTTTTCGAGTCCGGAGACGAGCCAGTCCATGTAGTGATCGCGGTCGAGTAGTTGTTCGGCATAGAGGTGCGTCGCCAGTCGGATGCTGTCGCATGGTTAGTTACCGAAGCGGGTTATTCTGACC